AAAACAGTAAAGTTTGAATTCTACATGATTCTTACAATGCATTTATATATTTTTTTATGATAAATTTACAAAATCAGCTCAATGTATTACTTAAGCATGGCTTAGTGAGAGAGAGCCTAATTAAGCCCATAGACTTGGTCCAATAACATGAGACCAATGAGCCCGAAAGGCTTGGTCTATCATTTGATGGTGGTTCTACCCAACATTCAGACCAAACGAGGGCAATCCAACAAGCACTAAACTGACAAAGCCCAAAGTTTGGTGCAACCTATATTTCAACTAGTCATTAAGGTCTAGAGTCTAGCATGGTCCATATCACAAACTAGCCACTAACCCTTGAGATAAAAGGGGGCTGCTCACCAAAAATTTAGGGCATGGAGAAAATCAAAAGATTTGTGTAGAGAGAAAGAGCAAGAAAATGGCACATGTAATCATTCCATCTTCCTCATCCATCCCTGTCTCAAATCAAGCAAGTGTATAATGCTCTTGAGTATGAGTCTTTACAACTAATCCACTTTTTATCAATCATTGTCAAGCTAATGTAGTTCACATTGTCATCCAAGCTGACATCCCTCAAGAATGGCAATATTTGCTTCTTCCTAAGGTTTGGTAATTTGTATCAGGTTTTATTGATTTATGTGCAGGATATCTAGTGGGATCTCTTATAATCTTGGTTTAATGGTGTCAAGGGTGGCTGATATGAGAAAATTAATTGTAATCATAAGTAATGATTAGTTGAATCTAAGGAAAGATCATTTGAAAAGTGGACATAGGCTTATTGTCATGGTAGCACCAAAAGAAGAGAAGTAAGAAAAGATCTTAAGGAATCTAGAATAAATGGATGGAAAACATATCATTATAATCCTCATTGTGGTTGTAAAGCATGGGCCATGGTAAAGGGGGATGTAAGAATTGATCAACATTTATTTTAAAACTTTCAAAAAAAATCTGTACATCTATACTATAAACAATAAAATGATGTTTTCCTACTATGCTAATTTATCTTTCAGTTCAATTCACATTTTTTTTTCACTAAAAGTTGTAAAGTACAACATCACTTGTAGAAATATTTAGATATTTTCTTTCTAGTTAGAAATGTAACTACTTGGAAGATTAATTGAAATTTAAATATTTCTAGTGAATCCTATTTGTTCAGAAGCATAACGGTGACCAAGAAAGAACTAAACTAATGAAGAAAATAGTTAATTATACGAAAATTCAACTATAGGGTAAAAAAAGTACTATAACATTGTTATTTTACCATTCATTTTTCACCATGCTACATACAAGCAAAGGCTTGAGTGTATTACTTTTTGATATAGTTATTCCAAGCATGCATTACATGTTAGTGGAATGCTTTTGAACATCATCAGTCTATCATATCATATGCATTACTACAAATTGAAAGTTAGTCTCAACTAGAAGCTAGTGTCTACTTAAATTAGTAATTCTTTGTCTCTTCTTGACTGGAGAAGATTCTTTTAGTTTATTATTTTTCTCTCTCATTTCATATTCTTTTAGAGATAGGACATTAAAGAAGCTCCTCTCTAAATAAATAACATAGAGGATTTCTACTCTTCTTGTCAAAATCATATTGTTCTGGCTAAAGGCAAGCATGCCCTGATACATATAGATATGTATATAATGTTTACATTATCAAAAGCATCATATAGCAAAGCTGTATGACATCTAACTGCTCGAAGAGATTCCTTTTGGTAACTTAATTGTTTTCTGAACAACAAGACACTTGGCATGATGCCTAACATTTTCTTAAATGCATCTATTGCAATCTTACATTGTGTTCCTTGTTGGAACCCATCCTCATGGCTTAAAAGTCAGAATGAATGACACTGAGAAAGCCACTGTAAGACATTCCTCACTATAGAATCCACCCTAGGCAACTGAACAATTTACAAATTGCTCTTAAAATGATAGAAATTTCCAATCATAAAATATTATAGGAAACTGAGAACATGTCATTTCTATTTTATAAGTAATACATCATTATCATATTTGATGCATAAGTTCATACTAAATGACATAAAGTTAATGAGAAAATAGATAAACCATTCTCTAGATTAATTATACAAAATATATGCTTAAAAAGATGATATACTTCTGTATCATGATTATGCTTTAAACATTCCTAGATTCTATCTTAATATGCTTTACTTGACATCTTTACCTTGAAGATGCCATAACTAGGGTTAGAACTAGATTTAATAGTTGGAGATCATTTTCTTAGACACATTTTTTTCTTTTTTTTGAAGATTTTAAGAATATTTTCAAAATGTGTTGTATTCTAAGGACGTTATGAACCTTTAAGGGAGCCCTTTAAGGAAGCCCATTAAGTCAAATTAATTAAAATTATTTGAGGAGGTGGAAATAGGTAGAAATGGATGAAAATGGGTGAAAATAGGAGAAAATGACTAGAAATAATTCTAGGATTGAAGAAATAGGTGAAAAAATGAATAGAGAAATAATAGTTGATCATCACTTAAAATCAATTAACTTTTAAGAAATGAGTCATAATTGGCTAGATCTAATTCTAGTATAAAAACTTCCATTTTATGGTGAACTGATTCATATACTCAAATTAATTAATTTGCCTTAGATTTAAATTCATTCCTCTGCCTCATCTCTAGTGACAAAGAAAATTTTTAATTTTAATTTTTTTTAGTTTTGTTTCTTGATACTTTCTTTTGTTTGATCAATTCTAAACTTGTTTAGAATTTTTCTTCCATCTATTAATGAGTTCAGTTTTGAATAGCTATTCCTAAAATTACTACTTCTTTACTTCTCGTTGTAATTTTCTAACCCCTTTTCTCTTTTTCCTCTCTCTCTCTCTCTCTCTCTGTTTCTCATTCTCTCATCTTCTTTCTCCACAGATCATTGTTATTCGTACATTTGGCTCATCTTATTCTTGTCATTGATTTATTGCAGATCAATAACTCGACAGTGACAAGGGAAGGAGCTAGTTGCTGATGCAATAAAATTATCATTAATGAAAATTTAGTTTTATAAATATTAAATTTGGCATCTCTTAATTAAAAAACTTAAAAATATTCAGAAACCAATCTTATATGAATACAATAATCAACTGATTTGAGTCTCAAGCTTTGTTATATTCTGCTCACTTTCTTATACTTCTTCAGTCTAAAGGCCCAGAATGCAATATTTACTCATACACCAAGATAATTCATGGCATCATCACAAATCTCGATGGAGAGTAAATGAAAGTACTCTCTTCACCATATTAGTACCCATGAATATATTGTAGAACTGCCGGGGGGCTGAGTCTATGTTTCTGAATGAGAGAAGCCATCTGCACACAGTAAATTCATGAATTCATGGGAATTCCTGGAGATGGAGAAGGACAACCAAGTTCCTGGGAATTTCGTTCGGAAAAGAGAAATTCGGGAAGGACAGCATCAACGACGTCGTTGCAACCTTCTATGCCGCCGTATACGACGGCTTTCAACGTAATCACAGCATCCATGGGGCTACCCAGCGTTCAGGTGGATGGCTTCTTCTCCCCCTCCGCCAGCGGGTCGCGTCACGCCTTTAAGCATGGCATCGCAGTAGCATTGTCAGCAGGCGGGGAGTCTGTTGCATTGAAGGCATCCGCATTTTCCAGCCATATTAATGGCTCCTTCGTGCGTCTCCGAATGGCCTCTCTGATTTTGCCCCACGGAAAACTCTTTACGATGATCGGCTCAAGATGGGCTAAAGCTCCCAGTGCAACCGAGTGGGAAGTCTATGACCGTATTTATTGGTCAACGGGGTTGGAATTGGCAACCTTGGATTTTTGAAATTAGCAGTACTGAACAACCAAGTCTTCGGTCGGGGGAAAGAACTTTGACCATTAAGAAGAAGGCTCTTGCAAGGCTCTCAAAGCTCCTCAGAATATTGATCCCAGCGTTCTTCTGAGTTGAAACTTCTAAGCCTTCTGATTGTGAATGAGCAGAACTCCCAGGGAACGGTGACATCAGTTGCACTGGGAGGGGGGTGAGGTTCCCTTTGAAGATGAAGACCCCCATCGGGGTCTCCGATTTGACCAGACCCACCACCGTAAGTCGTACCCTGAAGATCTTCCGAGGAACCCTCGGGTTTGAGAAGATGAGCGAAGAGAGGGAGTTCCACGTCACGTTGACCGCAGAGGGAGAGGGGCGAGGTTCCTTTTGGAGAAAGTCTACGGATGGGGAACGCACTGACGAGCCGATTCACTGTCGTAATGCCCTGCTCACTGTTGAAGAGGGCCCGCAGAAGTAAAGTCAACCTCCAATTTTGGTCGATTTCTTGGGTCTATAAAAATAATCCTACTTTGGATGCTTTTACTTGCTATCATGTTGTATGTTTTCTACTTATGTGTTTCATATAAATTTACCTCGTGCTTTTAATTATTTGAAAAACAACCCCCCTAGAAAATGTTGCTCTGTCAGGTGGGCTCGGGCCTGGCCCATTTTCCCCGCAGATCCACCGACTCCGTGCCCTGGCCAGTAGATTTGGTCCCCGGGCTAGCTTCCTTTGTGCCCCGGCCAGGACTACCCTCCTGACGCTGGCTACAGTTGCCGGTGCCAACGGGCCGGGCCCAGCCCGTTGAAGGATACGATTCCCCGAGGTCCGAGCGCCCGATTAAAGATCGGGCCGTGGCTAAGGAATATCCGGGCCGAATTTTTAATGGCTGAGCGCGGAAGAAAGCCCGTCCGGGCGGGTGCACAGATATAAAGATGTAAAAATTTCCAACAAAATTTATTTACTCTTTTCGTCTTCTTCCTCTACACTCCCACACTTCGAGTTGCTTCTCTCTCTCTCTCCTTCCCTTCCTTTCTCCCTCTCTCTCTCTCTCTCTCTCTCTCCAGATCCATCTCGGCTAAACCTGCGCCGTTTCTCCGATGCGCAGTTTCTCGTTGTTGCTCTCACCTTAACGCCGCTCCCATTCGTCCTTTCTTCTTGCTCGACCCCCGTCGTCTTAGTTGGGTTCTTGGTCGCCGCCTACCATGGCGTCTGCTGGAAACCCTAACCAGCCTGCTCCCTTCGATGTGCACAAGCTATTCAAGCCCCCGCCGAATTCCAGTTCTGCTCCTATCAACCCTGGTAACCCTCCGAGCAACCCTCCTTTCCCCCCTCCCATCTCTTACCCGCCGGGCGCTCCCTCCTACCCTGTTCCTCCTCCCGGCCCCTTCTCTTACCCTCCTCAGACTGCTCCATTCCATCAGCACCACCCTCATCCCTTCCTCCACTACCCCCAAGACCCACTCGCCAACGTGTACCAGCAGCAAGCTCGCCCCGCCATTCCTTACGGCTCCCCTGTTCCTAACCCTAGCCATCCGCCCCCCAACTCAGGAGCCCGCCTCATGGCGCTTCTTGGTACCTCCGCCCCTGGCACGATCGAGACTGCCGTCTCTATGCCACCTCCTTCTTCCCTGCCTTCGGCGTCATCAGGGGAATTTTCTGTACTACCGGTTAATAGCCCTGTGCTCTCGACTGTTCCGTCAGCTCCTCCGATGATATCGGCCGGGGTGCCACAAACGACCCAGGCAAGGTTGCCGAGTGGCAAGCAACCCCACGGGCGGCACATCAACGGGGGAGATCGTTTTGTATACGATGTGGATGTTAGGGAATCACCGCCGCCTCCGCAGCTTGAGGTCACACCGATTACGAAGTATTCATCAGATCCAGGACTCGTCCTTGGCCGTCAGATTGCAGTCAACAGGTCGTATATATGTTATGGGCTCAGGCAGGGGAACATACGTGTGCTTAACATTAACACTGCATTGAGGTCATTGCTTCGCGGGCACACTCAGGTGGGACTTCCGATTATATTTTTATCAATGAATGCAAATGCAGCGATGTGCATGTGTGCTATATTTTTCTCCTTTCTTCGGTAGCTTATGTCCTTTATCTCTCTGATGTGCACTAGTTGCTCGCTACCCTGATGTACGTTAAATTGTTGTGGGAAAACTGCCTCTGTCCTTATTGTTTCATGTGGCGGAACTGTCACTCTTGCTGGGAACTCTCTTGCAGGGAGGGCCATAAAATTTCCATCATGAGGCCTTTTTGTGATTTCATTTGGAGAAATTGTGAAATATTACTCCGGTGTTACACGCATCATCAACGATGCTCCTGCAAACGTAAATTTCTAATTTCCTGACTAACGGATGGTAGCGTGGCACTGTGGAGAAACTCAAGGAAGCTTCTCTCTCCCCTTCCTTTTTCTTCCGTTTCCCTTGATGGGTGGTTATGTTCACTTATCATATGGGACCATTTACCCACCATTGAAGGAGGAAGATATGACTTTTGTGCCAGCTGCTGCTGCAATGGGCAGGAAGAAGAGGGGAGACGATTAATGCGCCCCTACTTATCCTCTGCTGCAATCTACCCCCTCCCTCAACCCCCTAAAAACAAATTTTGGATCCATTTCTATTGCTTAAATATTATGTTATGGTCTTTTTCTCCTTTTTTGTGGTCTCCTTAACAGCTTGATGTTTGAATTTCGTTTCTAATACATTTGCCTTATATCAGCAGATGTTTCTCTTCATTTTCTTTTTTTCGATATAACATAGTTGTAAGGTCAATTTTTTCATCAAGCTTTTGAAATGGGTTTTTTTTTTTAACAGAGGGTGACGGATATGGCTTTCTTTGCCGAAGATGTCCACTTACTGGCTAGGTACCCCTGCCCATTTAATTCCCATTGAGTTTCTCATTTGTAGGCCTGACAATCGATCTGTTTTCTCCTTCTGAACAGTGCGAGTGTTGATGGAAGGGTTTTTGTGTGGAAGATTAATGAGGGTCCTGATAAGGATGACAAACCACAGATCACAGGGAAAATCATTGTTGCAATTCAAATAGTCTCAGATGGCGAATCATTTCATCCTCAAGTGTGCTGGCACTGTCACAAACAGGTAATTGTGAAACTGTTGTCTGGCTCTAGCTGAGAGCACTAAATTATAATATTTGCTCTTTGGGCTCCATTTTTGCGACATTATGTTTGTTGAATGGTTTCGTATTGCAAATGCCATTGATTCAATAAAATCAGTTATAGCTTCTTAAATGAGCTGTGAAAATTGTCTAATTAATGAGTAAATTTTCTCTTTTGCAGGAAATCCTTGTTGTTGGAATTGGAAATCGTTTGTTGAAGATTGATATGACTAAAGTGGGAAAGGGTGAAGTATTTTCTGAGGAGGATGAACCTCTCCAATGCCATGTTGATAAGCTGATTGATGGAGTCCAACTTATTGGTAAGCATGATCAGGAGGTGACAGATTTGTCTATGTCTCAGTGGATGATGACCCGTTTGGCGTCAGCATCAAAAGATGGCACGGTATGTTGTTGCATAATTCTCCTTCTGATGTTTTGGCTTTAGTTGACATTATATTTCGAGCAAAAAATTTATGTATAAATGATTGATTGGTGTCCAAACTGATGCGAACGATTTACACCAGATACATAGGGAAAGTAATGCGACTATGCTTTTGCATTGCGTATTGTATCCTTTAGGTTAATTAAGTCCTCTAAAATTAACCCTATGCTGATTTTTACAGTGGAAAATTGAAACCTTTTAAAGGTGCCCACTCACTTTCATTACAATTTCAACCGTCATTGAGTTTTTGTTGATTAAATTTTAGTCAGCTGATGATTTCAAATCTCTATGATTTGTGAAAAAGTTCTAGCACTCTTTCATCCTGCCATAAATTTCTGTCATTTACTATCAAAATGTGGGGTATCCTGTTATGAAATTTTCTTTATGGTGGACCTTTTCTGGCTTGATTTGATGATTGATCATGAAACATTTCTATCCATGCTCTTTAGCATCTTGTCATCATAGATTGGCTTGCTTCTTTCGTCTAATATTCACCTAAAATACTGTGGAACCTTTTGACAGTAGATTATTTGGACGAGAGCGTGCATTTTAGCATGTAGGCAGAAAGAGAAGGAGAATGTGTTAACAGGATTCCTTGTTTTAGGGATAGAAGTTGAGAAACGATTTACCACGTGCTTTAATGAGAGGGTTTACTTTTCTCTGCTTATGTCTTTGTTACAATTATTCACTTTGATTCATAGATAGTTCTTTGTATCTCGATAAACGGGGATAGTGACTGGATTTACTCTTGTCTGGTTATGCTGTGTTTAATCAGTTCGGATTAATTGAAATTTTGGATATTTATAAACTGGGATATTTCCTTTTTTTATGGAGTGATTACCTTTTTTGGACTTATGGATGCTATTAGATCTCAGCACCGCACAGTTGCAGTATTATTGGCAATTGATTTATTCTTCTCTGAATTCGATTATTTTTTTTCCGGTGATAGCAACACTGGCAATGCTGATGGCCATTTCGTAGGCGATCCCATTAATAGGCATTACTATCTAGTGGATTTTGTGCCGATTTATTGGGTTTCTACTTGAACTTTTATCAATGTAGACCTCGATTTTCTCAATTTAATTTCCTCAAATTTAACGTCTGTAACTGCAAATGATGTATTTATAGCTGCTAGGGCCCTGACTTATGGGAATAGGTTTGTGATTTATTTAGTTTCTCGCTGGTTATTCTCATCAACTATCTTCTTCCATATTGAGAAATATTGTCTAGTTATCTGGTCATATTCTAAATGTTGTTTTTCATCCTAATCGTATCCCCAAGGTATTGTTGTTAATTCTCTATAACCAGTGGCAAAGGACTTCCTTCTGTTCCTCTATATTTGACATTCTTAAAAATAAATTCTTAAATCCAAGCCCACTGCATGTTTCGCTTTGGCACCTATCCTGTTTTTTTCCTGCTGTTAACTTATTGGACTATTCTCTTCCTTTTCTGCAGATATCATCCATTCATTGCTTTAAATTATTTTTCCCTAGAATTTTATTCTAAAAGACTGTCACACAACATTGGAACATAAATCTTTTTTATTCATCTTCATATACAGTGATCAGCTTTTTGCCATCCCCTGCTCTGGAGATAAGGAATGAATAATAGGAAAACCCTTTACTATCATGTTAATCTCCCCTATTCACTTTTCATCAATTCAATTAAGATTTCCGTTGAGGGCCCTTGCAACAAATGAATTTGGGATTATTGTCGCTGTCGCTTTAATGTCTATCAATCCGGGCTTATATTATTTTTACTGCATTTGTTTTACGATGTATCTTTTATGAGGCTAATTCCATGATTAACAAAATTACCTCAAAGTTTCATGAAGTTCAATGACATGTACTCTTTCTTATTCCTTTGAGAATAAATGGTTTACAGACTCCAGGATAGTGTATGGTTCCATTGGACAGTAGAATCAGTGTGGAAATCCATTGTGCTTGGCATCATTTTTCTGCCTTTTCAATTTAATAAAATTATTATAATAGGGGACTTGCTGAAGCTGCATTGAAAATATGTGGTCCTTTTTCACTGGTTTGTTCTTCATCACAAGGAAATTTGAAAATGTTTTGAGTATGATTGAATGCACCCATTGGAACCGATCAGAGAAGTTAACGTTCTGCATATAGCTATTCTATAATATGCATTTTTTTCTTTTTGGACCGCAATAGATTTAACTATTCATCAGATTATGAAAAATCTAGTCATGCGCCCGTGCTTTTCTCTGGCAATGATACCTTGCGTTTTTTATTGGAAATCCATTCACTCTGTTATCTGATTTTCAATGTGACGTTGATTTGGATAGCCATGTGTGTATTCCTTGGCTTGAACGAGGTAGTCAATGGATGTTATCTTACCCACTCTGAATCGATTTTCTTTAGTCGGATGTCATATGCTTTGGAAAAGGATTTTTTTTCTTAATGCAACCATTGTTAAATTGTTTGCCTAAAGAGGATGATTTCTTTGCAAAAGAATCAGCTTCTATGTTAATGGTAGTAAAGCTGATTTGTATGATTGTTTCTGCTTTGTATCATCCTTCATGTTTGATCTTTTCTGCTGTACTTAGTTTATTCTCCATAAATGCTGGTTCCATCAAGTCAAATATAATTCAATTCATGTTGTGACAGCTCCATTCCTGTGCCAGGTAAAAATATGGGATGACCGCAAAGCAACACCACTTGTGACATTACGGCCACATGACGGTCAGCCTGTCAACTGTGTATCATTTTTGACAGCACCCTATCGTCCAGACCACATTTTACTCATCACAGCGGTATGAGTTTTCATTTGCTACTGCATTTAATATTCTATGTATGTTCCCTCAGCCTATGTTCACTTTGTATATTTTAAGATTTTGATGTTCATTTTTGCTCTCTTTTTGTTTGCTAATAATTTTTTTCTTGTAGCTTTTCTGAACAGGTTGCTACTAATTTATTTACCTTTGATATTAGATCAACAGTTAATTGTTTCAGGAAATATTGTGTAATTTTAAAAAAAAACTAGAATTGAATTATTAGTATAGTACCGTTGGTTTCTGATTACGGTGTAATCTGAAAAAGAGAGCTTTTTTCTCTTTAGCCTTGAAAATCTTGAATTTCAAAACCTTTCATATTTTCTTGGTTCCCTATATGATATTTAGTAACAATCTGTATTTAATTTTGTCTTATTTAGGGTCCTCTGAATCGAGAAGTTAAGATCTGGGCTTCTGCTAACCAAGAAGGCTGGCTGTTGCCCAGTGACTGTGAGTCATGGCTGTGCATGCAGACCTTGGAGCTGAGAAGTTGTACAGAAACCCGTGTTGAAGATGCTTTTTTCAATCAAGTTGTTGTTCTGCCGCAAGCAAGCCTGATATTACTTGCAAATGCTAAGAAGAATGTTATATATGCTCTGCATATAGACTATGGTTCAAATCCTCTATCAACACGAATGGATTATATAGCAGAATTCAGTGTCAAAATGCCTATTTTGAGTATTACTGCAACAAGTGATTGTTATGCTGATGGCAAACATGTCATCCAAGTTTATTGTGTTCAGACACAGGCTATTCAGCAATATGCATTGGACTTATCTCAGTGTTTGCCGCCACCCCTGGAGAATGTGGGGTTGGAAAAGGAGCTGTCTATTTCTCGTATTTCTGATGCAGCCACCTCAGATAGTTTTGCTTCTGCAACTGTTGGGATTACTGCGAATGAGGATCCTTCTGGAAATAGCACACAGAATTTCTCTATTCCTCTAAACACCTCCGAGACTTCACCTGCAGTTAAATATTCTTTGACTTCCGATTCTCCAGATAATTCTAGTCTGCTTGAAATTACTGCATTGAAAACGGAAAACAGGCCTAGTGCTCCACCAATCTCAGATATGGATGCTGATATTAGTCCACGAATAGACTCTGAACGTGGGTCCTCACTTGATAATGTTATTGACCAGTCAGTTGCTCGTCAATCAATTGAAAGGGGTTTAGAAGTTGGAGCTCTAAATTTACCTGATGCTCCTCTGGACGATAGCTCTGTGAAGAGAGAAAGTAAACCTGGGCCAAGTGATATTACCGTGGTGCCAAATCTTCCTTCATTTCCAATGGGCACGAAGGTGACACACTTGGTCACTCCATCTGAAATATTATCTAAGGCTGTTTCTTCTACTGAGAGTAATGTCATTCCTGAGTTGAATGGAACACAGACAAGAATTCCAGAAGTGAGTTCTAACCTTGTTACAGAAACTGCAGAGGTGGAGGTTAAAGTTATTGGTGAGAGTGGATCAAGCGTTTACAGAGAACCGGACTCTCAGAGAGAACCACAAATTCAAATTCTAGAAGATCAATCAAAATCCTTGTCTTCTCAGTTTACGGAATCTAATTCTGAAATTGTGAGAGATGGTATCTTTAATGTTGCTGAAGTCGTGCGTATTGAGGATAATGCTTTTTCTGAGGGATTGGAACAGCCTTGCCCTGTTAAGGATGAAGTGAAAGACACAGTGAAGGATGAGTCTGAAAATGATTCTCAATCTGTTGCTGCAACACTGGTTGCCGAATCTGCTTCAGCTGCAGTGGCTGCACAGTCTCCCTCCGTGGCTAGAGGGAAAAAACAGAAAGCAAAGCAGCCTCAAACGTCTGGACCATCATCCCCATCACAGCCTCCCTTTGACTCCAGTGATTCTTTTAATGAACAGGGGAGCAATTTTAGCACTGCTGACGCTGGTTTTCCACAAGCACTGTCTAACATTCAGGCAATGCTGAGCCAGGTGATCTATTTCGCTATATTAATTTCCCTTTTAGTTTAATAATTTCCCAACTGTTTTTGCTGTCAATGTTCTCTTCGTTTTGGAGAAATATTACAGCTTATGATTGGTTGTGTAATATTTCCTCGAAAAGATTGTCTGGCATGATAGAAAAGCTTGATTATTGGTCCATCTACTGTCATGATGTTGTCACAGAAGAGCAGAACTAAGGTTACTTGAACTGGCTCTTAAACCATTCCACTGGCCTTTGTTGTGAGCCATATGGTCTTCAATTGGAAGCATGATTCCACTAAGAATAGATTTCCTGTATCAGTTTTCTTGCTTGGATTATATATGCATTCGCTTTCCAGTACATGCTTGTCTGTGTTTCTTTCAGTCATCCTTTGATTAGTCTTGTTTACGATGCATTATTATAATGGCAACTTTAGAAATTAAACGTGTTATTGTTTGGATTCCAGATTACTATATTGATCTAGTTTGAGCTATGTTTGTCTAGTTGAGGCTTACAGTGATTTATTGACCTATGATTTAGAGGCACAATCGCCTTCCTCATGAAATATCTGATGGTCAGTAATCCCATTGGTAGCTTGCTGTTTATGTTGTTCAGACAAATTTTTGTTTTCTGGCCCTGCAGGTTATGGCGACCCAAAAGGACATGCAGAACCAGATGAATGCGGTAATATCGCTTCCTGTTACCAAAGAAGGTAAAAGAGTGGAGGTGGCCTTGGGTCGGTGCATAGAGAAAGCTATTAAAGCCAATAATGATGTTTTATGGGCGCGCTTTCAAGAGGAGATTGCCAAACGTGAAAAGTTGGAAAAAGACCGTATGCAACAAATGACTAGTTCGATTTCAAACAGTTTGAACAAGGATTTACCTGCCATTATAGAAAAAATTGTAAAGAAGGAAAACTCCTCTGTTGGACCTAATCTGGCTCGCTCTATTAGCCCAGCTCTGGAGAAAGCCATTACTGCAGCAATAGCTGATTCATTCCAGGTTTGATCCAATTATTTTTGGGCAAAACTGTGCGTATTTTTTTGTCTCGGATCATAATAGCCACCATCTGGTATGCAGAAAGGTGTTGGGGACAAGGCCGTGAATCAGTTGGAGAAATCTGTTAATTCGAAGCTAGAAGTTGCAGTTGCTAGACAAGTTCAAGGGCAGTTCCAAACATCTGTCAAGCAATATCTTCAGGTACGATTGTATTCAAGAACATTGCTACTTCTAGAGAGTACATTTATTTGATGTATTGTCGCATAAGTTTATTTCGTCTCATCCCCAGTCTTTTCCCGAAGGATAGCACTTGTTCCCACTATGGTACAATTTTATTAAGATTCTTGTTTGCTGTTACTTTTACGCAGGATGGGATGAGATGCTGCCTGGAAGCCTCAATAATTCCGTCGTTTGAGTTGGCATGCAAAGCAATGTTCGAGCAAATAGATGCTGGATTTCATAAAGGAATGGTTGAGCATACTACGACTGTTCAGCAGCAATTGGAAGCTGCACATACTCCACTAGCTCTTTCTCTGCGGGTACCCACATCTTGGCCTTTAAATTTTGTCAAGCATATAGATGAAAAAACGGCCAAGATGGCTGTAATGGTTATACTGAGATTATGGTGTGTTGATTACTTATGCTTAAATAGATCTATGAAAGAAAAGCATGGATCCAACAAGATGGCCTTGTCATCGTTTTCCTAAATTTCCTCGTGGGATCTCCTACATTTTTCATCCAAACTTGTAAACCCCTATTAATGGTTTTAGCTCAATTCCCTGAGATGATTTAGTTTCAATCCGGACGGTTTTTTTGCGTGCGGTCGGCGTGTAATATATACTTTTCTGTTATCTGAACTTCCTTGTAAACTCTCACCATTTTATTTATTGATTTATTCTCATTGGATATGCCTTTGTGTTTGACTGTAACGGTCCTTGTGTAGCAAATCTTCACCTCATCTTGTGGTTGGACAAGATGCACGAGATGATCACCTTATGGCTTTTTGATTCTCAGGACGCGGTCAATTCTGCACTAGCTGTCACTCAAGCCCTGAGTAATGAAATCGCCGACGGCCAGCGCAAGTTACTATCCCTTGCTGCGGCAGGAAACCCAAAATCATTAGATTCCATGGCCGCACAACAAGCCAATGGCCCCTTGGGAGGTCTCCATGAGATGGTACTATTTACGAGCTGCTTCTTTCTCAAAGTTTCTTGCCTTCCCCCCTTTATCATTCTCAGTATTCCCCGAGAGATCCCTCTGGTATTTCCCCCTTTCAGAATCAACCTTCATCCATGAGTTGCTTCCGTGTAACAGGCCGAGGCCACTGTTGATCCAACAAAAGAGCTGACCAGATTGATCACCGAGCGCAAATTCGACGAAGCATTCACGATGGCCCTGCAGAGAAGCGACGTCACTATCGTCTCTTGGCTATGTTCTCAGGTTCGTCTTTCTGAAACTCATATTTCTCAGAGTTGGTACACTCAATCCAGGGTTTTTTTTAACCGGCAGACAAATTTAACACGCAGACCGGTCTGTCTCATCATGTGGGTCTCTCTCTCTCACTCTCTGTCCTTCAGGTTGATCTTCAGGGGATATGTTCAATGAGCCCTCTTCCGCTTAGTCAAGGCGTGCTCTTGTCCCTCCTTCAGCAGCTGGCCTGCGACTTGGCCAAGGACACGACCCAGAAGCTGGCGTGGATGACCCAGGTTGCAGTCGCCATCAACCCCAGCGATCCGATGATCGCCCTCCACGTGAGGCCCATCTTTGACCAGGTTTATCAGATTCTAGCCCACCAGAGGTCGCTGCCCACGACCACCCCCGCCGACTCGAACAGCATACGTCTGATGCTCCACGTCATCAACTCGGTGCTGACCGGCTTCAAGTGATCTTCCCCCATTCATTCCCGACCGTGGTATAACCTTTGTATAGAGAAGACGGGAATAGGGAAGAGAGGAGCAAAGGCCTAGGATTCCTCGGTGTAAATCAACATCAGGCTGGTCGTCTGTATTCAGGCTGCTTTCTCCATTGTCTGATGCCTTCAATCTGTTTTTCTTCCCCCAGTGTGATATGATATTCCTTCTGCCGCAAACTTAGGTGGTTTGGGTCTGAATCACTGTAGAGGTCTCAGCTAATTCCGAGCTTTGTGACAGAAATTAGCCTACAGATGAGAAGAGTCAAGGTAGAGTAGGTGGGCTTGCACACTGAAACGGCCAATCTGTATTGCCTGCTTGATGATCCAAGTTAGAAATATTTCTCAGTATGGTATCATATATATACGGAGTATTGCTTTCTCCATTTTGTCTGATGCCTTCAATCTGTTTTCTTCACCAGTGTGATATATGGTATTCCTCTTGCTACAAATCTAGGTGGTGGCTTGGGTCTGAATCACTGTAGAGGATCTCAGCTAAGCTCCAAGCTTTGCGACAGAACTAGCCTACTGACGGAAGAATCAGGGTATCTGCATTGCCTGCCCATCCATCCAAAACTAGAAATATTTTCCAATATTATATCATATTCATATATACGTAGTATTGTTCTACTCTTAGACAACATTCTCAGTATATGATCAGGCCGGAGAATATCCAACCATCTCGTCTGCAGCGCGGAATTTAAGTGGCAAAAAGAAATGCACATTCAGTGCTATTTTGGGGTGCCAGCTGCAGAATTGAAGGATCATTACTCAATGCAACCTAGCAGTCACTGACAGTGGATCTAAGAAAAGAAAAGAAAAATGAAATACATCTGAATGTCTTAACCAAGTACGAGGGGAAGTTTGACTAATAAGTAACCATTCTCATTCAGGGAAAAAACCATGTAAAAAGTACACCATTTGTGGGAGATGATTGTCAGATATTCTCTGACTAGACATGCGGGCCAACTCGTCTCAGAGAGAAGAAGCAGAGTTCCACTGAACCTATCCGGTTCAGATGCGCACAGCAGGCTGTGTGAGGCGGCAGGGGAGGATGACACCTAACGGCCTCGGCCACGACCACGGCCACGGCCGCGGCCCCTGCCGCGCCCTGTAGGTCTCCCTAGATCAACAAAGGAGAGAAATCAGAATAATGCATTAAGGTGGGGCAGAAGAACAAACCCATGAATGGAAAAGGGGGGAAGCTATCTACCAGCAGTCGGCTTCTTCGGCTTGACCCTTGGCGTTTCTTCAACCAGCAAGGTCTCGAGGTTCAAGCTGTCAGGGAGAATGTAATAGCGGATGTTGTTGCCCCTCACGCTTAGATGGTCAAGGGACACCGGATTCTTCCCCTTCAGCGTAAGCTTCACTGTCTTCAGGTGCGTGTTCATACTGATGTCCACTCCTGTGACCACAAAGAATTAATCATCATAAGTTTAAATTTACACGCTCATCAGCTTTGGCAACGATTTCGTTCTAACATCTGAAAAAATCAAATTCTAAATTCACTTAAAAGGGGCATGCCCTCCTCCAACAACGAATGTTGAACAATAACGACTAACTCAGGATTTCCACAGTAATGGATCCATGGAGGACATTCAGCAAATATAGAAAGTCACAGCTGAAAGAGTTCTCTAGTTTCTGAACAAAATTCAGCCAATTTCCGCACAACACTGTAGGGATGTGCTTATATGACTTCCGATTAACAAGATTTGGAATAAACCTTTCTTCATTTATCTTCATTTACAGTGCGAGAATAGCATAACTGAAACCTGTATGACACGATGATTTCAAATTTTTCTCCAGGGGAAAAGTAATGCCCAGATAACCATGGCAACTAGCCAACCTACATAGCAGCCGTCCACAATCAGCCATATTTGGTTGCTCAAGTCAATATTGATGGTGTGCATTCACTTTCTAGGCCCTTTGCATTTGGCTGGACAGGAATACCTGTTTGCATGCGACAATGCTCATGAAAGGTCATCTGCATCAAGCTATTCATAGTTGCCAAGAGAAGTTGAACATATGTAGATGACTCTACTTGAAACTAGGTTGAAATCCGAAACATTTGATTTGTTTCCCTTCAATTGGGATCTACGTTATCTACAATTAGTTATTCCACTTATAGATACTTACGTGAGAATTTATGCTTGTATTCTTAGCACTGTGGAGGTGCATACAAAAAAGATTCTATCAAGAATTTGATGAGCATTTTCCAAACAGAAATTACGCTTCTCCAAACCTATCACCCATCGCTGTACAAATTATGATCGGACTAGTCGATATACATCTCAGTTGGATACATAATAACAATCACAGTTGAGTTAAGACTATTTGAATATCAGCTAATCCCTTCAACTAAAAAACAAACAGAATTTGTAGCCAGTTTATTGTAAAAAATCATGCAGTTCACACTTTTGACTGTCCCATAAATAAGCACCTGATAATGTATCACCTCGTCCCATGACAAATGATATAAACTAAAAAATTATGACCAGCGGGATCACACAATATCATGCCATTTAGAGAGATAACACCGTTTTCAGCAATTCTGGGTCAGTAGTTTAGAGCACACGGGGTCATTCCATGGTATTTTTCAAGGACTTCTAACCATTGCCTATGGACCTCAGTATGATCCAACATGTAGGTTTCTCGGCCAAATACTGCCACATTTTAGAAGCAGCACAAAAGAGGAAAAGAAAAAAAATAACATAACGAGAATATTAACAAAAGAAGAACTTCATTACATCTCGGACCAGCTGCAAAGTTTGAAAAGTGAGTTTCAGTAATATCATTCGAGCCAAAAACGGAAGCCAGCGATTTCCAGGAAGACATGTTTAAAGTGTGACAACTGGACGAAAGGAAGAGCGAGAAGAATGCTATATTACAATTTCCCGGAAAATAATCTATTCGTCTAGAAAGTTCATCATTAGAAACAGCCACGCCAATTTTATGATATAAGTGCGCCAATATTTGCATTCGGATGCGCCTAAAGTGTTCCAATCCACCAAACTAGACGTCAGAGACTATAAATTACCACACAAAAAAAAACACTCGGTCATCCTAGATATTATAAAAAAATGGCAAACTAGGAAGCCAGACACAAATGCCCGTATCATAGACGGCTATCTTGTATAAAGCACAAGCATTCAAGAGACCAATTTTTTTTAGATGGTCGAATTCTTTTTCTACACAGTAATACATAGGCTTCAAATTATATGACCAAAAACTCGTTGTCCTGGAAGGAAATTACATGCTCGTTGTCTTTGATAAAAACCCAGAAGGAAACCAAGCAGAGAAAAAAATATTTTAAGTAGGTCACAAACGAAGCGAACAGACGACGAGACAGAACAGAATGTGACCTGTTATAGTCCCGTGGACGACCGTGCCGTTCTTCAGCTCGATGGAGACGGTCTCGTTATTCAACTTCATCAAAAACCTGGAGAAACACAGAACTCAGCAACGCGCGTAGAAGATAGCGGGCACAAAAACCCCAAATAGAATCCAGACCAAAAGAAACGGAGATCGACAGGAATGACGAGAGACATTCACCTCACGAGCTTCATCTTGACAGCTAGCGAGATCAACAAACGAGCACCGAGCGCTGGTGGGGATGGGAGATGGGGGGGAGCCCGAGCTTGCAGTAGAAGAGAGGAGCCCTAATTCTTCGAAGGCTGGCCCGGGCTTTTTTCTTTGAGCGGGATCCCAAAACCCTCCCTTCAAAGCCCTGATCCTAGAAATCTTCCCATCAGGACGGTGCGATCAGTGGAGCTAGAACACCGATGATCTTATGATTAAACGATCTCAGCCGCACGTCGGCATCGATTAGTAACCCTTCGGAGATCCGACTCTCCTAAACGGGCCTGGAAGTTCCACTGGGCCGGCCCAAAATATTACTTTTTGGGCCGGCAGTCCGGTCTGTGCTGTCCCAATCCTTGTTTTGGGAATGATGCCCTCCTTGCATGAGAATCATTGAGGAATTTTGAATTTAATTAAATAATTAATAATACGCGTTCAATCAATGCGAGAAATCGCCCCCGGCACGTGTGAATCCAGTCGGGGAGAGAAAGTAGTAGGTCTGACGTGGCGACATAATATTAATCCACGTATCTCCTGTTCCCACGTGCTGAGCGTGTGTCGGCAGTAGGAGCAATGACTTAAGTTGTCTAAACGCCGTTAGGATCACGGGAGTGAGGGAGAGAGAGAAAGTTAGAGAGAGAAAGAGAGAGAGAGAGACAGACAGAGACAGAGACAGAGAGAAAGGAAACGGAATTGCCTGTTTCTTGTTGTCAGGATAGACGGGAATATAGAGAGAGAGAGCGGTCGGTGGCTCCTCTCTGCTAGGGATTGCTGGCGGTCGCGCAGGAGTTCCGCCGGAGGGGCAAGATCCGGCTCTGATCCCTCGTTTTTGTAAGCCGCGGCGAGCAGAGGCGGCTGCTGGGCGGGAGGAGGAAGATCAGCGAAGGAGCAGCTGTTTTTGCTTCTCTTTTTCTGCCCCTCTTCGCCTCCCCATCTCTCCCTCCATGTTGCGACAGGAACGGGCTGTTTTCTAGTAGCTTGAGGGTGATGGCGGATTGAGATGCAGAGGTGGATGATGAGGCGAGATTTCGGTGTTCGGTGGGCGGGGAAGATGAAGAGGAAGCCGGTGTTTTTGGTGCTCCTGGTGCTCACTGTCCTCGGTCCTATTTTCCTCTACACGGAAAGGCTTAGCAGCTTCACCAACTCTATATGTAAGGATGTTCGTACCGAAAGGAGATGAGAATCGCTTGGAAAAGAAAAAAAACTTGTGAATATTTTTCCCTTTTCACCCCATTCAATCTTTCCGAACATTTTTCTAATTTTTTTATTTTTCTTTCTCTTGCAGCAAACAGCGATTTTATTGAGGACATCTCGAGTCTGGTGGGTGTTTATCGCCGGATCTAATTCGCAGATGCATTACGATGCTGTGCACTTCTGTACCTTTATTTTCTCCTTCTGATTCGGAATTTCTTCCTCTTTTCAGAATGCTTGGGGTGAGCTGGGGAGGCTAAGTGCTCTATCTCATGTAAGTTCCCCCCCTCTCCCACGCATTTCTAGATCCTTTGATCTGCTCTTTTCCCACCTCCTTCCTCGTGCATTTCTTTGAATACGCGTCAATCTTTGGATCTGATTGTCTGTTCAACTACAGGAATCCTCTAACGCCATTAAAGAGCCAGTCGGTGTCGTTGCTCTCCACAAATTCAGCAACGTCGCTGACGGCGCCGACCGTGCGGAAGATAGATCAGCGGTGGATCTATCGGAAGAAACCCCAAAATCAGGAACCAGAGGTTCGGATATGCTTCTGGATCCACCTAGAATGTCCTAAAGTATCACTCCCCTCGTTAAGAAATTGAAGGAATGATTCTATAATATCTTCCGTGTGCAGATTTGCCATTGGGGACAGTCGGAGAGCACAAGAGCAGAGTTTTATCGGCAACAGTCGAAGGAACCTATTCAGGAACAGTGGAGCAGCGAACGGAGAGTATCATTGAACAGGTCACTGACAACTCTGGGGCGGAGGATGAAGAAAACGATACGCAGGACGCTGATCAGGCAGACGAGTCCAGAGAAATCGAACCCCAGCAGATCCCAGATGCAGTCATCTTCCAGCAAGAGGTGCTCTATACTCACCTAATGCTTTGTTCTTATGTTCGCCACTGGAAATCGCCGCCATATTTTTTGTCAACATGGAGCTTATCATTCCCATTAATATCATTGTTTCTTATTTTCATGATGATCCCACGAACTGATTTCGCCTCACTGGGTAATCCTCCGATCCCAGGAATCGAATTCCCATCATCAAGCCTCGATCAAGTCTCGTGTTAAAAGATCCCATGCGGTCAGCACTGGGAAAAAAGGTGCCGGTGCTAAGCCCATTTCAGATGCCAAGGTCCGCCGACTGAGAGATCAGCTGATAAGAGCGAAGGTGTTTCTCAACCTCGGGCAAGCCCGAAGCAGCCCTCACTTCATCAGAGAGCTCAGGGTGCGAATAAGAGAAGTCCAACGGGCCCTTGGAGAAGCCACCAAAGATTCGGATCTACCAAGGAAGTAAGTTGTTTTCACCTCAAACTGTGACGGTGATTGGGGCTCCCCTTCTTCTCTCCGCCTGAACTAGTGGTATCTGTTGGCTTATTCAGCATCGACGAGAAGATGAAAGCCATGGAGCAGACTCTGGCCAGGGGCCAGCAGATCCAAGACAACTGCTCCGCCGTTGTGAAGAAGCTCCGGGCGATCCTCCACTCAACTGAGGAGCAGCTGCGAGTCAACAAGAAGCAGGCCCTTTTCTTGACACAGCTCGCAGCGAAGACCCTTCCCAAGGGCCTCCACTGCCTCCCCTTGAGGCTCTCTAACGAGTACTACGCGCTTAGCCAGAGTCAGCAGCAGTTCCCCAACCAGGACAAGCTGGAAGACCCTAAGCTCTACCATTATGCGCTCTTTTCTGACAATATTCTGGCTGCAGCAGTCGTCGTGAATTCCACCATGACCCATGCCAAGGTTCGCCCGCCAGGGAAATTTCATGTTTTTATTGATCAAAAAGCCATTATTTCTTAGAATTTTTCCACGGAAAGTCTTTTTTTCTTAGAATTTTGTGAATTCTAACTTGGCCCCATTTTGAATTGTTACTGGCAATTATAAGGACATTATTTCCCAGCAGCCTCAGAGGAATGTCATATTTTCTTGGCAACTCTTTAGGAAAGTTCGTATTTCCTGGAATTTCTGAGGATTCATTCTCCCTTTGTTCTTGCAGGATCCTTCAAACCATGTCTTCCATATTGTCACCGACAAGCTCAATTATGCCGCGATGAGGATGTGGTTTCTGGCAAATCAGCCCGGCCAGGGGACCATTGAGGTCCGGAACATCGAAGAGTTCACCTGGCTGAACTCGAGCTACAGCCCGGCCCTTAAGCAGCTCGAGTCACAGTCCATGATCGACTACTACTTCAAAACCCACCGTGCAAGCTCGGATTCGAACCTCAAGTACCGGAATCCCAAGTACCTGTCGATTCTCAACCACCTGCGGTTCTACCTCCCCGAGGTCTTCCCCAAGCTCGACAAAGTGCTCTTCTTGGATGACGACGTGGTGGTGCAGAAGGACCTCACCCCCTTGTGGAAGATCAAACTCAACGGGAAGGTCAACGGCGCCGTAGAGACCTGCGGAGAGAACTTCCACCGTTTCGACCGGTACCTCAACTTCTCCAATCCCCTCATCGCCAAGAACTTCGACCCCCACGCGTGCGGGTGGGCGTACGGGATGAACATCTTCGACCTGATCGAGTGGAGGAAGCAGAAGATAACGGAGATCTACCACTCATGGCAGAAGCTGGTGAGCCATTTTTCATCCACCACCGCCGCCACGGCCTCTTCTTCTCCAATTTCCTCTGCCCGGCTGGTTTTTTAGCGATCTTCCTCTTCCTTTCCCTACTGCAGAACAGTGACAGGCTGCTGTGGAAGCTGGGTACGCTACCACCGGGGCTGATCACCTTCTGGAACAAGATCTTCCCTCTGGACCGATCATGGCACATCCTGGGCCTCGGCTACAACCCTGGCGTGAGCCACAAGGACATCGAGCGTGCCGCCGTCGTCCACTACAACGGCAACTTGAAGCCCTGGCTCGAGATCGCCATCCCCAAGTTCCGTGGCTACTGGTCCAAGTTCGTCGACTACGACCAGGCCTACCTTCGGGACTGTAACATCAATCCTTAGCGCAGCTCCTCCTCCCTTCATCTTGGTTTGTAACAGCTATCATCCCCCCCCCACCCCCATTCTTTTGTTCCATGCCATGATTGGTATTTGTACATGATCCGACGACGATCAAGGATTTTGAATTCCCACGCTGCCCGTTGACTGCAATGACGTGGGCCCGGGAGGGAACCGGTCCAGAAGCTTATTCTTTTCCTGCCATGAAGTCTATTGGTGCTTGACTTTCGACACCCATTGCCTGAAATGACGTTGACCTGGGTGAGAACCAGTCAAAAGTTTATTCTTTTCCGGCCATGAAATTAATGGGTATTTATTAGTGACGATGATAACGGTTATGAAATACGGCACCACCCAAAACCTGAAAGAAAGTGGGCCCGGGTTGGGATCCGGTCAATCTGATTTTATTTTATTTTTTCGGCCATGAAATATATTGGTGTTCGTAAGTGATGGCGACGATGACGATAAAGATTTTGACTTTTGGCCCGGTGGGACCGAGGTAACCTTCCTTTTTGGAGGATGAAATGTACTGGGCCCCACTGGTTCCAGGCCCACCAGAGAAGCAAAGTGGCGCTTGATTATGTGATTGGACGGCCCAGATTGGACGAGGGGGGGGTCGCCGTCTCAACCCCCGGTGAGAGTGATTGAAACGGACATTTGGCGTAGGAATTTTGGTGATATGCAGAATCTAGGGGCTTTCTAGTGGGCCCGGGGATCCGTCATCGTTCTTGAATGGACCTGTTGAGGCCCAAATGGGGCCCAGATTGTGATCCGGTGATGCGCCGGGCTAACCCAACCGAAAGATAAGGACGGGCTGCCCGTTACTTCTGGGCCGCCAGATCCTCTCGTCGGTCGCGTGCTCTCTTGGTCATGCCCCACGCGGAGCAGTTGGTGTCTACCTAATCGGGGCCGTGACGCGACCAATGGGCCTTGACAAGGAAGGTCAAATTGGGCTGAGGCCTATCCATGAAGTGGGGCTTTCACCTGGGCCCAAGAAATGGGCTCGAGGTCGTGTCCAGGGAATCTGTTGAACTGGGTCCAGTTCATATGATAGACCCAGGTCCACAAAATTGCGTCGGATCTTCTTCTTGAGCATGACCAGGAGCATTAATTGGCCAAATGAGCCCCAAATCTGACCCGGTTGATCTGGACTTGGGCATGAGAAGCTGGCTGAGGCAGGTTTCTAGTCCGTCCAGGTTCATGCCGGGGTCCAGTCCTTGGTAGGGTCCGGCATCGAAGCCCTAATCTCTCTCTTTCTCTCTCTCTCGCTAATATATATATCTATCTATGTGTGATGACAGGAGCTGATGCCAGGAACGCTTCTCCGCGTTAGCGTCACATCTCGGCGTTGACTTTCAGGGGGGAAATGTTTGAAGCTGCAGTTCAATCCAATGCGACTTGTCAACGGCTGGTAGTATTAGTACATCGATAACGATGGGTCTTATAGGGTGAGACACTATTGGCTCAGCCTTTAGGGGCTCCAGGCCACCGATGGAAAATTCCCACGGAGAAAATCTCCCAAGGAAACTACGCCGAAACCTCCTCGGTGGTCTTCGGATGGTGAACGTAGCCTGGAGAGGGTCCTGATGCACTGGTGCCGGTGCACATGAACGAGGATTATTCTGTGCTGAGAAGCTTTCGGTGTAATTAGGAGAAAGAGAAGAAGAAGGATAGATAAGAACTCTACTTTCCTCTACCGGAAACTGGCAAGGAGATTAGATGGCGAGGGATTTTAGGATTGTCTCAAGCGCCGAGAATGGAGCCCACTTATTGTCCAGTTTCCCTGGGTTCGTGGTCCTCAGCTGCATGGCGGCCCCTCGCTCTCAGTCATGTCCATCGTCCTATTTGTCTGCGGTGATCACGACAAGAAACTGCAGAGGACTGAGAAGGTTACTTATTATGGGAACGGAGGCGGTGGAGACACCGCGGCTGCTGGTGTCGACGCCGTCGCCACTGAATCGACCCGTGAGGAACCTTAGGATGAGAAACACGATAGAGCTTGCGACACGAAGGTTGATCCGAATGTAGTTTCCCACTGCTGCTTATGTGGTTGCAGCGCCGACAGATATGGTGACTTTGATCGGGGGGGCTGCGGAGGCTGCGGAGGCTGCGGCGGCGGCTGCGGCGGCTGAGACCAAGCTAGATTTCTCATGTGATCCGAGAGATAGAGCGCCTCCAATTGTCCTGTATAGTAGGAGTGTATGCTGGGAGGAGTCGTCGCTGCAATGTCCAATGTCAGGTACCTGTATGAATCCGGAAAGGCCCGGCTGTGTGAAAACTGAGAGCCAGTAATAACACTCAATTCAGTGAAAAAGCATCGAAAATGTCAGCCCGATCTGCTTGGCGATGCCTTCTTATCTCTTTCAATAGTATTATTTGTCTTCCTATCCTCCCACATAATACCCATCCATGAAAAACACGCCAATCGCGATCAAAGACGACTTGCCGGCGCCAGTTGGGATGTCAATCCTAGACACGCAGAGACGGCGAGAGACAGAAAGAGACAGAGAGAGAGTCGTCCACGACTCACCATCCTCTTCTTCTCACTCTTTTGACTTGATGTTTTACGGGTAATAAATCTCAGCAGACTTATTAAAACGTAAGTTAGATTGCTAGGCTTCGATATATGGAATATACGAAGATAATAAAATGCAGAATTTATTAGTAAAAGTAGCCGTGAGTTGGAAATTATACCTAACAAGGCAGGTTCCATGGAACCTTCCTCAAAACCAGGCCTCTTCTGCAAGCACGTGAATTGTCCCCCGAGTAAGGAATGCATCAAGTTCCAGAAGATCAATGGGAAATACAATGGCAGACCTGAAGATCTTCTCTGAGATGATGACTCAACGGCAGCATTCTCATGACTCCTGTGAGAACGTCGCATTCGCAGACCATCTACTTCTGCTTGATCTCTGATAAAAGGTTTTTGGCCATTCAATTCAAAATCAAGTGAGGATAAGTGCAGTAGGCTGATCTTTATAACTTTGTCAAGCGAAGAACATAACTTTTTGATACACGTTTTTGGGACTCTGGACGAGCAACTCCGGTAGGGACTAGTCTGAGAGTTGCCTTCTGCGCAAGCGCGATACTGAACGTAGTGGAGATGGCCAATATCGATTAATGGGCTCAAATAAATATATGGGCTTCTCATAATGTGACTTTGTTAATGGGATGTACCTATTATTTTGGCAGTGAAAGACCATCGTATTATCATTGTTATGAAGATTAAAAAAACTGGAGATTTATCATGCCTTTCTATGGTCAAAAATGAGATATTAACTAGTCTTTTAATATTTTCTTATTTAATAAAGAGATGGAGAGTTAGGTCTTGATTTATAAACTAAAAGGGTTTTTCTGCATCTTTTAAGTACATTAGATCTAAAACTAGGAGGTTTGAATTTTTGCGAATTTTGATAATTTCAATGTTTATTTGTTTATTTTCAAAAAAAATTAATGAGTTTATTCCCATACTTTTCTGGTGAGAGCCACTCCTGCAACTACAGAGGGAAAAAATTCACCTTCCAAGTCATTGAACGCTACAATCAGCTAGAGTGCTGATTTCTACATATTTTTTGTTATCATGCACTAGCTTATGCCATTTGTTGCTAGTGCATTGTGACTTTTCACAACTTGATTGAGGCCAATTCAAGTTCAGAGATTAAACTTAGAAAACCTAAATGTAGTAATATTTGAGCTTGTTATACACATACATTGAGCCTAAGTTTTATCCTAGCTTTACTATTTTCAATCAAGCATGACATAAGCTTATGAATAAGTAATTGAATTTCCCCAATCCATCTTATAAACCTGCCAACTGTTCAACTGAACTTCATCCCCACACATGTAGAAATATTACCAAGACAAACAATCCTCCATCACTATATTGGCCTCCACAAATTCTAGATGATTTTTCCATCGTCTCCTCACCAATTTACGCTGCTTTCATGATCTAATGGCTTTAGCATCAATGCTGGCCCAAATTTATAATTAAAGAAAAAGATGGTGAGGGATTCACTCGACCCAAGTTTTAGCTATAAGTTTACTATAGAAACCTTTTTAACATTTCTTAGACTTTAAAGTTTGTATAATTTTGACACTACTAGTAGAGTTAGCTTGTGGAAATATTACTGGTTGATTCAACTAATTGTATAATTCATAGACTTTATATTCTGAAGTCAATTATTTTATATCGTTTTGATTCCATTAATTGATTATTTAAACATTACTAGTTTAGATAGTTTAGTTTATTATTTTAAACTAGTTATAAATGATTTTGAACAATAAACAAAGAGACCATTATAAATTTATAAATAAGCACCATCCCTTAATAAATATAATTTATATGTTATATAAAGTTTAAGGAAATGATAACTTTATTTTATACCTCCTTATGTTATATTACTTATATCCTCTATGTTAATGTACAACCTTCTAATTGCATCCCTATCCCCTTACCATGGAAACAATGATAGTACGCTCACTATTTCTTTATCTATATGAAAATAATTATCAATGAATAAATTATATAATTGCATTAGAATGCACTTATTCTTATAAATGGTGTAATATATTATTAATGAGTTTTAGAACCTTCAATCAGTTTTAAAGTTGATAAAATCATAAAATAAAGAAAAAGGCATCAGTACATCACATAAAAACATAGTATAACAACTATCATAGTTTAATGTATTAGAAGTTTGCATTGTGTTGTACATCAATGAAAATATTTTAATATAAATCTTATGATTCAAAGTAGCATAATGTATTAATAAAACTATTTTAATTATATGAGAAGTTTGTGTCACAAAATAAAACTATATATCATTGACAATATTATAATTTCAAATGTTTACATTATAGAAATGCAGTATATATCAGACTTAGTATTTTATTACATGAGTGGCATTGTAGAATAATAGAGTATATTAGAATTAAGTTGTAGAACATATGAACTCATGAGCGGTATGCATATAACTATGTAGAAGTACATCTAACATTTACATTGCAAAAATGCACATGAGCTTAATATTCTAATACATAAGGTTGCACTGTAGAATTTTGAAAGTAGTGTATACCAACATGAATATTTCAACATATCAAAATTAAGTTGTAGAAACTTATCAAACTCATGAACAGGATGCAAGTAGGTATCTAAAATAAAAAGTATTTCAATATATAGAGTTTCCATTGTGGAAGAATGAAATACATTCATGTTCAAATGTTTTTATATAAAGAGTAGTAGAAAAAATAGATATCACCTTAAATCAATGAATCAATTTTATTTTTTTTGATGCCTGCATGTTACTAATGGAATAAGACAAAATACAATCGAATTCATTGTTGAAGAAAATATGAAATAGGATAGCATTCTATAAATAAGAGAATTTTAAACTAAAAATAAATGAGAGAAGGTAGAAATAAGCGAATATAAATAAATAATATGCATAAACTTACTTAATTACGAAGATAGATATCATCCATGTCTGGTGTTACATTAGGGAATTAATTAGATAAGTATGATGTTAATTATATACTTTTAAGCTCATAATGAGTTATGAATTGGATTTGTGTCCATATTAAGATGATAATCTATTATAACTAGGCATCATTAGTTGGATTTTTTATGCCGCCAACCTCATCTACTACATGCGTTACTAGACCACCACGCTCACAAGTTAGTTTAACCGTAAAATTTCCCCTTGATCATTAATTTTTGTAATATGTAAAGTCATCTTTATCATGACATATAGCTAAAATTATGAAATCATCAGAATCCTCCATTGAAGGAATTCTAGTGTTCTTTGGAAAGGTTCTCTCTCTCCTTATTCGTGTGCTTGTGCAAGGAGCTGACGCCAAGAACGCTTCTCCCAGTCTTTGTTATATCAAGAGGTGGGCGTTAACGTCATTCCTCCGCGTTGGCATTCAGGGGAAAATAGTTGAAGAGTTCGTTCAGTCCAAACTGTTCAATGGCTAGCAGTATTAGTGCATCGATAAGAATGGGTCTTATCGGTTGCGTCACTAGTAGCTCAGCCGATAGACATTCCAGGCCACCGATGGAAATCCCCCACCCATTGTTCGACAAATGTTCCCAAGAAACCACGCCGAAGCCGCCTCGGTGTTCTTCGATGAGTGGACGTAACTTGGAGAGAGTCGTGAGGATTAGCTGTGCTGTACGCAGAGCCTTCTGTGTAATTAGGAGAAAGAGAAGAAGAAGAATAGAGCTGGCGCCCGAAGGCTACATAAGAACTCTACTTTCTTCTACGGGAAACTAGTGGGGAGAATAGATGACGAGGGATTTTGGGATTGTCTCAAGCGCTGAGAATGGCGCCCGCTCATTGTCCAGCTTCCCTGGGTTCCTGCTCCTGATCTGCATGGCGGCCACCTCGCTCTCAGTCATGTCCATCATCCTATTTGCCTGCGGTGATCGTGACAAGAAAGCGAATAGGATTGAGAAGGTTACTTATTATGGGAACAGAGGCGGTGGGCTACCGCCACTGGCTTGCCCCGTGAGAAACCGAAGGACGAGAAACACCATATAGGTTTCGACCCCGAGGTTGATTCAGATGCCGGCGATGACAGGTATGATAATGACGGCGATGACGGCAATGGCGGGTGCTGGGGGGGCTGAAACCAACCCGCATTTATCGCCTGATCCGAGGGATAGAACGCCTCCACTGGTCATGTATACTCGGAGAGGATGCCAGTGTTGTGAACGGGGAGCCTTGCACGTCTTTTCGCGTAACGGCATAGGCCTTGCACGTCTCTAGGCACACCTGCCTAGAGCTGTAAGAGGGCTGTAAGAGGTTGCTTATTGCTTACGGTTATTCCTTTTCCCCCCTTTTTGCTCCCTTATTTAAAGAGGGCTGTAAGAGGTTTTGAAGAGTGAGATAGTCTTCCTTGTTCCTTCTGCTGGGTTTTTCCTGTGACTCCGTGGTGATCTCGTCGGCGACGTCTTAACTGCCGTCGTCTCTCCGGCGAGTTTCTAACAGCCAGGGGAACTCGCTGCAATGCCCAATGCCCATACCGGCCTACGTACCTGTCTGAATCCGGAAAACCCTGGCTGTGTGAAACCTGAGAGCCAATAATCACACTCAACTTTATCAAAAAAGGTATGAAACTGTCCGTTCGATCTTCTTCAGGATGCCTTCTTATCTCTTTTAACTATCATTTATCCTTCCATTCTCACAATAATACCTATCCATCGAAAACGCGCCAATCGCGATCAGAAACGACTTGGCGGTGGCTGTTGGGATGTCAACCCTCGACACGAGAGACGAAAGAGAGAGAGAGAATCGCCCACGATTCACTATCCTCTTCTTCTCACTCTTTTGACTTATTGTTTTACAGGTAATAATTCTCAGCAAACTTATTAAGACCGAAGTTAGAGGGTAAGCTTCGATATCAGGAATATATGAAGATAATAAAATGCCGAATTTATTCATAAACGTAGTCATGCGTTGGACACTATACCAAACATGAGGCGTCTGCTGCAAGCATTTGAATTGTCCCCCTGCGTAAGGAATAGCAGACCTAGCTATCTTCACTGAGATTATGAGTCAACGGCATCACTCTCATGACTCCTATGAGAATGTCGCATTTCAAGACCATCTACATCTGCTTAATTTCCAATAAAGTTATTTGGTCATTCAAGTCAAAATCAATTGATGATAGGCGCAGGAAGCTCACCTTTATAACTTTGTGAAGGAAAGAACATAACTTTTTGATATAGGGCTCAAGAGAAACCATATGTTTCGATTCCACGCTCAATTAATCAAGTCCTTCAACCTAAAATTAATTGGAAGTGCAAGGAGTCATTTCACATTTATAATGACAGATTTAACACTAGGTAGAACTATTTTCAAGTGGTTGTACTTATATATGTGGGGCGCTGGACGAATTAGACAATGTTACAAGAAACAAGCAGCTGCCGAGCAACTCAGGTAGGGGCAAGGGTGAGATTTGCCTTCAGCACTAGTGCGACACTCAAAAGTAATGGAGATGGTCAATATCAATTAATGGGCCCAAATAAGATAAGTGGGCTTCTCCTAATGTGGCTTCGTTAATGGGCTGTAGATATTATTTGGGAAGTGAAAGATCACCTTCGTTCACTGTTAAGAAGATGAGAAAACTAGGAGGTTTATAATGCCTTTCTATGCTCTCTTGTGAAGAAAATGAGAGAGTAACTAGTCTTTTAATATTTTTTCATTTAATTAAGAGAATGGAGGGTTAAAAGATTTGATTTATAAAGCCAAAGGGCTTTGTAACCTTTTTAAGTGTGTTACATCTTAAATGCCGAGCTTATAAAGACTTTGCATGTTTGTCTGAATTTTAATGAAGTTTGATAATTTCAATATTTCCTTACTCATTTTCAAAAGTTTTTCTTGAGTCTATATTCTGCTACTTTTTAGGTGACAGCCACTTATGCAACCTCACAGGTAAGGAAGTCCATTTCTATGTAATAAAGGCCTGAAACCAACTAGAGTGATGCTTTTCTATTACCATACACCAGCTACACATGTTCGGTGTGACTTTTCATAGGGGTGTTCTTATATAAAGAGTTGGGTGAAAGTAAAGATGACTCTAAAGAAATGAAATCAAAAAAACATATTATTTTTCCTTGTTAATAATGGAACAATAGAAACTATATTCATATTGACTATTAAAGAAAACATCAAATAGTATGATCTTCTATTAATAAGAGAAAAACTAGAGCTAGCTATAAAATAAGCACAAAAAATAAATCATATGCATAAACTTAGTTATTTACAAAGAAACATAATTCTCAGCTTCTAAACTCACAGTGAATAACACTTGGATTTGTATGCATGTGAGGGTGATAACTTATAACTAGCCATGATTCATTGGATTTGTTGTGATGCCAACTTCAGCCACTACAAGGTGTTACTACAACACCATGCTATAGGATTCTTCAAGTTCACAAGTTAGTCTATTAAACTATTTTTCTTTCCCTTTGGACAATAATTTAACATCATATTCAAGTCATCTCTATCATCATATATAATTAACATTCCAAAATCAACACAAAGCTATATTGAAGGATTCTATGGTCTATGAAAATCTTCTCCCCCTCTCTCTCTCTCTCTCATTCACTCACTCATTGTGCAAGATTAAAAAGGAAACTAAAATCTCATGGAGTGCTGGCCAGGGATAAGTTCATTGACCCAAGAGTCTATTGGCCAACTAAGATGGCAAACCTAGGTTAAGCTTACAATACAGAGAAGGATATGCAACAAATCATTAGCACATAGAAAAAGATTAAACATATGATGCAAAAACAATAAGCATTGCAAATTTATGTGAATAGAGGTGAAAGAATTTATGCTATTTCTCTAGCACACCCTTAACCTTTTTTTCATAAGCCTTGTAACCTTATAAACTTCCACAAGGGAACTTACATGAACAGCATAAGAAGCTATTTTCTTCCACATATAACCTTATATTATAAACACGACTACATTCCTATGCTAATAACACCATGGCCATATTCTTTTACCCTATAGCCTTGCTTCAGTATTGTCATTAGTATGCATTTCCAACACTATAGTCTTACCCTTTTGCTTCTTGGCCTTCATTGAGTGTCTTGGTCAACATGTTAGCAACAATACAACCTTATTATACTATAAGCTTATGTGATCAACCATCTAATCTTAGGTTTTCATTATAAAATCTTACCAAATGCAACTCTTGGCTGATTTGAATTTACTTAGCTTATCCTAATGGCCTCATAAGCTTATCTAAGTTTTCTTACAAGCTTATATTAGTAGTTTTAAATTAAAAAATTAGCTTTTCTCAAAAAATATACTTGATGATTACAATCTCTATTTTGAGCTTCCTAAGCACAAATTAAGTTATCTTTACTATATCATAAATTTGACACAATTTGATCATCATACGGAATCTAGGGGGTGTTTATTGCAGAGCTAGACAATGTTCCTCTTTTCCTCACCAACATTTGATGTATCCAAAACTTGATAGATGACATATGTGGCCTTTTTTTCACATTCAATCCCATGAGAGGTGATCCAATGGAAAAAAGTTATTTTTACTTTTCTAGAAAAAAGTGACTGCTTTTGTCATTTTTCACAAAATGACCAAATTTTGTATAATTTCGGAGTAATTTAAATCATTTTCATCCTAGTTTCACTTGTAATTTTGTCAAGGAGCCCTAGATTGAAGTTAACCCTACACTTTCATATTTGTATTTAATGCAAAACGGACTTAGTCTTTATATGTGGTTTCCTATAGCTATTGGGCCAAAATGGTAGCAGCCCACTTGGGCCTTTCTCTTATAAATATATTTTCTCTCTCCTCTTTTTATAACTGTTCATGAAATAAGATTTTCTTTGCAAATTCTCTTTTCTCCTCTCCTCTCTAACCATTAAAAATCTAATCCATTATTTCCACAAGTTCTTCTCCATATTTTCCTACAAAGTGGTATCAAATTGCAAAGTTGGTCATATCGAGTGTTTTCTATGGTAGAGACTGCAATAACATCAAGGAAGATTCAAGAATAGGGTTAGTGAATTTCTCTTCATTCATTAAAATTTCTTGTTGTAGTCAAGATCGTGAAGGTGTTGTGTGAAGTCTTTTGGAAGTTGTAATACTATTGACTATGAATATGGCAAAAGGTAACCTCTTTAACCTTTCACAATGTCTTATATTGTTTTTCAACAGAGATAAATATGATTTTCTAGGATATTAAGATGAGAATTTTTTTTCTCTCACAAGATTATGAGATTTACTTTAGAATGGTAATAAGTAATGAGAGAGTTCTAAATAAGATGAAAAATAAATTCTAATAAAAGATGCTATGACTTTTTAGTGATACATCAATCAATTTAAGAATTTAGTTTTTTCCAAATTACTAATGCCACAAGTTCTTCAAAAGTATGAAAAAGTCTTAAAGATGAGTTTAATAGACGTAATAGAGTTATAGTGTTAACACTTGAAACTTTTTGTAGAGAATTTGAAACTTTTTTTATGAAATCAAATGAGAATATTTTAAGAAGATATTTTAGAAAAAAATGGTTGAAAAAGTTTTGAGAAGTCTTTGATATGCATGTGATCATGTTATTTCTATTATTGAAGAGTTTTAAGGATCTGTCTGTTAACACAAAAAATGAACTAATTGGATCTTTATTGGCTAATGAAAAAGAATGAATATATCCATAGAAAAATGCTTTTAGCAAGTATTTTAAATTAAAAATGATAAAATAGTAAAATCACTTCTAATCAATGGCATGATAATAGAAATAGAGGTTGATGAAATTATAAATTTAAAAAGGGCTGGATGGAACACCAAGAGGGGGGGTGGTGGAATGAGTTTCTACAGATTTTGGTCAATTCTTATTTTCTACCTATTGGTTGATGTGTTGATATGGGTTCTCTCAAGGTTTTCTTTCTCCCTCTCTCTCCATAAAAGTTCGTTCAAGGTTCTCTTCAAATGTACTTTGCCAGCATGTCATCATTTAAATTCTAGATTCCAATGTAGTTTGCCAACATGTCACCATTCAAATTTTAAGCTCAACACACATGTGACTTTGATATTCTATAGTTTTTCATATATTTCATTTTGTGAGTTGACAGTAAACTATCTATACTTATATATGGAATCTAAGATGCTACATTTCAAGGTTAGTTTTAACATATAGAAAAGTTTAAGATTCTCAAGGATTACCTCCTTAGTTTTATTTAGTAGCCATAGGATCATGAGATCATTAAACATCATACAAGTTGAATAATCGTAAAATATTGAACATTTAATGCAAGCTTTCACCATATATAAGTTTCAATAAATATTCAATAAAATTTAATAAATAAATTTTCACATTGTAATATTGGAACCAAGGGCATGAACAAAAATTATCATGATTGAGGCTGTGGAAGAGGTTATGGTAAATCTAATTATGAACATCAAATGCATGATGTGGTAAAATAACTAAAATAAAAAATACAATTTTAGAAAGATGCAATATAATTTTTCTAAAAAATACAAAAATATTGAAGCATGTTGATAGGATGAAAAAAAAATCGAAAATAGAGTTATAAGCCGATATGTAATTTTTGTAAAAATTATGGATATATTGAAGTAAATTATTGAGATAACAAAAGGAACACACAAACATTTATGGAGAAAATGAGCTAATTAATTTGTTTCTTATTTATGCATCTTCAATTACAAGTAAACTATATGACAAGTGAAATAAATCTATTAGAGAATATTGATGCTATAATTTGGCATTTGAAATAATGCCTAAATTGAAAACATTAGTACCAAGTATTCACAAAAAAAATAGGCGCAAATATGATGATACATGATCTATATTTTCTTACAAAGTTACCACATAATTAACTTAGTACACATATACGTTATTAAGCATATGAAAGTGATATGCCTCCTATGTTGACTCCTAAGGTTAAAAAGATGATATTTTCTCTTTGATATTTCAAGACTTATTAATTTTTAAATGATATTAAAGGAAATGATAATTCTTGGCTTTGGAAATTGTGTATTACACTTTAATGTGCTGAAACATTGGAACAATAGTAAAGGTGGTTCAATGTATGTTTAGTGAAAAATACCTTCCTGATGAATTTAGGGTTAAAGCCATGGGAACAACTATTTATCTAATTTATCCAATTAATATACTCATGAACATGACTCCTTGATTGTGATATCATTAGAAGTCAAATGTGGGTCATTTGAAAATTTCTAATTGTGTTTGATATTGTATTAATTGATATAAATAACAAAGACAAGATAGACTTGAAAAGTGATTAATGTATTTCTCCTGGCTAGAGTGATGAGTAAGATTTATTATTTATCCAACTATAAAACTATTAAACTATTAAACTATTGAGTTATGTTTTCATTGTGATATTATATTTAATTAAAATAATTTCTAAAATTAGAATAAAATTTTAGTTTAGCAAATATACTCTTATGAAAATTGACAAGTATTTATATAACCTAGACAAGATTCAACACTTGAAGCTCCTACATCATCTAAATGATTTTTGAGGGATTCCCAAAGTGATTCTAGTAGTTTAAATGACCACAATAATTTTAATCCAAATTTATTAAGTCCTCTAAAACATGTGAGTTCTTTTAAGAAAAATTGACAGACATTTATGTTATCTAGACAAAATTCAACACTTGAATCCTACATCATCTAGCTCATTTTAGAAACATTGACTATTGTTTTACTTCTGAATAGGGATTCTATTGTTCAGACCCTATAAATCATTTTAAACCTCAGATTCATACTAGAACCACAATGATTTATCATTTCTCTAAGTAATTCTAGTGGTTTTAATGGACACAATGATTCTAATCCAAGTTTATTGAGTCCTCTAAGAAATGTGAGTTCTTTAACTAAAAATGAAGAACTAAATGACCATAGATGGATATTGCCACACTAAATATGGCAAAGTTTCTTATCATGGTGGATACATGAAATCATAGGCACATATTGAATTAAAACTCAAGACCTATCTCTAGTTTGACTTCAAAAATCCAAAACCTACCATATGATGTTCAAAGATAGAAAAAGGCCAATCATTAAACCCAATCATTAGAAAGTTATATTTCACAAGATCTTTCTGAGTGAATCATGGAGAAACTTCTGCATAACCATTTATATATATGTACCCTACAACAGGAAGACTCTCTTTCAGGAATAATTATCCTCATGATTTGGAGAAGAACTCGTGGACTTTGTAGTACTTGTCCAAAACGACATTGTGGAGGGGGTGAACAGGCTCCAGCAGATTAGCGTATGGACCCAGCACGGTCTTTGGCAAAGCAGGGCCGTTCACATTCTTGGACCAGCTGTATTGACATAATGATAGGCCGCTCAGACAGTAGCATGAGTGGTAGTGGTCTCTCGGCTTGCCTGGCTTGTCTCTGAAACCCCCCTCGAGAACCTGTGTCAATCCAAATCTTAATTATTTAGAGCAGACAAGGGATGTTATCAACTAATCAACGGAAACCATATAACAGTAAAAGCATCATTTTGGCCTCACAGACATATATATTAAACATGAAATGAAAGGGCCTTCATCGCTATTTGTTGTGATGTGACCAGCTGGTGATGTTCATTGGGGCGATAACAGGTGGTGGGTTTCTTTCAAGAAAGGGAAGTGATCTGTAAGATCAAAATGCAGCTTCATACCAAATACATGCAGCCCATTAAACATCAAAGTTGAACGACTATGTGATGCTGTAACTCATGAGGTTCTTTAAAAATATGCCCATCCGGGCAGATCCAAAGTTTGTTTTGTATTTTCTGAAGAAGATAAGCCCCCGCCTAACAAGTTTCCAGATTGGTGAAAGAATAAAGTTCTTGCATTCTTTTGTCATAACGTGATCCGAATAGATAGAACCCGAAGTTCTACAGACGACAGCATCAGCACCAGATTGCACGCATGATGAGAAGGATTTCGAGGGGCCATAAAAGGGAATTGATGCAGATGAGAGATTAAGCCATAGTTCTGAATGCCTTCTTTTTATTTCAGCTTTCCAAGAAATTGTGCTTGATGAAAGACCAAAGATATGATCTCAGAATATCGTACCAAATAGCATTCAGATAGATAATACTCTGAAGTTAACGAATTAAAAAAACTGAAGATTCCAGTGATCACAATATGACAACAAGTATAACCGTAAACCCTGCTCTTATAGACGACAGGAAAACATATCAGCACAGGTGATGAGACCATGTCAATGTAAGTATATTTATACAGGGAGCAGGTAAGACGGAAAAGTTTTCAATGTATGTTTCTGAGGAACAGCGGTATCTCCCGATCAAAAGAGTACCTGACAGCACAGGAGGACGTACTGCTGTAAAGCAGCACTATGGAATAGAGAACCACATCCACTTTCTCTCTCAAGGAAATAAGAACCAATATTTGAAAATTCACCTGTGTTCATAAGACATCAGTCAGATGAAAATGCGCACCATAAAATAACACCCCTTGCCCTTTTTAATCGAATCCATAAGTAGCTCACTGAGGTCTTTAATGTACTTTTGTAAAGGGTATTATTGCTTCAAATTGAGTTATATTCTGAACCTACCCTCAATATTTTTGCTACTGGTTTCATGATCTCCACCTCGATGTTCATCCAGATCAGAATCCCCTTCTGACGGGTAGGAAGATGAAGTACTGCATATGCCTTTCGCGACTTGCTTTCCTTCAAGAAAGGATGACTTCAACTGTTCATCCACAAATGACAATAACCTTTGTGCAACTGCAAGAGCACCTCCCTGGTAAAATTCTATGTTAAATCCATGATCGCATGAGTGAACCAATAAATAAAGTACGATTCAAAAGACTAGCACCTGCCAGAAAGAATAGCAGCCATCAACAAGTTTATTTGTCCGGCCTTGGAATCCACATTCCACTCCCTGACGGAAAACCACCCAGTCCTACACAGATACACAAGTAGCTTAGGACGAATCATGTGAGACTATATGCATAGAAGCTTTAATTATTGATACTGAAAAATATCACTATCACTCTCATTCCACTCAATTTTAAGACTCGATCGATTCTCTTACCCCTCTTCCAACAGAATGCACTGTTAATATCCCTACATACAGTATTTATAGTGATAGTAGGAACTTGGCATGACATCAGTGGGTTCTGCAATCCCAGAGCAACTCAAAAATGTCTGTGACAATGACGTCTGTATAAACAGTAAAACTCAACCGTGTACCCCTCTTCCATCAGCTTCATATGAAAGATCTGACATTGTCTCTTCCCTTCTTTTTTTCTCTCTTGGACTTCATGCAATGGATTGTTAACAATGGTTATGTTGTAGCAGCGATGCTGCACCAGTTATTGCTTAGCTGAAATAGCAATTGTGTGGTCGTTTCCTATATGGAAAGAAGGGTCAAATACGCGTCTGTCAACAGGTGCATCCTCCACCGCTCAACACAAATAAAGGAAAGAGAGAAGAAAGAAGCTACGAAGAAGCTTCACGACGTTTGAAAAGAGCTAAAAAATCCTAGAAATGCATCCAACTCAATTATGTTCCACTATCCAATGCGTAAGCCTAATTGGGTCCAATTTATAATATCAGCGGGAATAAAATTTGAAGTTTAATATCTAATTCTACTGAAAGGCAGCTCTAAATCTTTACTCCACTCTAAACCCTAATGCAACCAGGGTCCTAAACCCAACATTTTAGAAAAGGGAAAGCAGCAATATTGTGTTCTTCACCTGAAATCAGGCCCCTTATTGAATAGGAATTCGGCGCCCATCTTTTGACTGTCATCAACTTATCTCCTTTTATACCCGGAAAGCATAAGTATAAAATTACTAACTGTTCTTCAAGCCAAAAACTCTGCTCACATAAATCAACAGACACCCATTATGCCAGCTGTGAACAAGGTTTCAAGCTAGTGGTCAGATTGATGCCCATCATAGTCACACACCTAGAATATGAGTATCACATAAACAGTTTGTACAAAAAATCAGATAGACAGAGTCACTGAGATGATTATCGTAGCTTGTTAAAAGAATCTATGTGGAAAAATTTTCAGTTTTCCTAGAATGGGAAAAAGTGATGATCCTCCAGAGAAGTTAATGGCTTCCGCATCGGTTCCATACGAGATCAATGTTGGGCTTAATTCACTGTTCAAAGACCGATGACTCCAGGCTTGATGTACATACCTCACAAACCTGTTCTTTCTGAAACATCATATCTCTATTGCTTGCAGAGTTCAAGCTTATGTGCATCGATAAGTACATCTATTGGTAAAATGCTCTTTCACTTGAGATGTTCGGGAGTTCATTAATGAAAGAGAGCCACAACAAGACGCAAATCATTTCATCAGCCTCATCCTGAGAACTGAGAAAGAGACCAAAATTTCCCGTGGAGGAAGATTTACTCATTTCTTTCATATTTTATGGTGAAAATAGATAAAAGACAAGAAAAAAAAAAATCATCATTGGAAAATTAAAGCAGTTAAACCTGACGAAACTACAAGCGAGTATGCCAACCCTATTTGGAAAGTAGAACGACAAAATGTTTCAAAGCAACAGAGGTCGTTACAGAAGGGAAATGATTCACCGATATTGAGAACTAGTACTGCATTTGGTCTTCATCATATGATATTAACTAGTGCTTAGAAAGGTAAGTTAAAAAAGGAAAGCTAACAAAAATCCTAATGACAACTGACCCTTTTATTAAGACGGGCATAACTTAAAATACTTCAAAAGCTGAAAATAAGAAATAAGTGTTTGAAGAGGAAAATTTTGAAGGAAACAATAATTTTGAGAGTTGCTGCTCAAGGTTAAGATTGTTGCTTTTTCTGAGAGAGTGCAAGATACCTTCTAGAAAAATAGGGATGTCCAAATAAACAATATTGACAAAAATAGAAACAGAAACCAATGAGACATGGTACCGAGGAAAACATACTTTTCCACATGTTTACCACTGTCCTATTTCAGATGCTGAGAGAATTGTGTCAAGGCAAAGAAGAAATGAAAAGGATGAGGAAGGAACATCTCATGACAAGGGCCTAGGAGTGAAAGGTGACGAGTTATAATCATCAACTTGCAGCTCATAATTTATAATGTCAACTGGTCATGGTAGACTGAAGGCAAACCCATCAATTTGCCAAAGGAAGAATCAACAGCGGCAAAATCATAGACATCAATCAGTCAACGAAAATAAAGCATGAAGCTGCAGAGAAGGAGCGGTAATGATGGGATTGAGAGAGATCCAGTTGGTTGCCTCGGCCCCCTACTCTTCAATTTCACCTCTCACCCTACCTTTAACAAGGATCAGAGGGAAATTAAAAAATTGAGCATATTGCTCTCAAGTAGTGTTTACATAGTCTACACAGCTCCTAAGCTAAGTTACCAACTTCTATGTAAGCAGATTCAAGGTTTTCTATGCATTATCCAAGTCCCTCTAGTTAGAGATGAAGACGAACATTATTTGGTCATCCTGCCCAGTCACAGATAACATAGATATTCAATGTCCATCAACATTGAAGGTTTTCATGTCTTTTTGCCATCAACATTCAAATTTTAAACGTCCTTTCTGTTCCATTTCGAATGCTCTCACAAAAATGAAGGTTTCTCAAATGCTCACCCAACATTCTTCTTTCCACATTCCCACACCATCTCAAAAAAAACATCCAGAGCACTCTCATTTGTCAGTGTGATATTTCATGGAAGTTCAACACCAAATATGTGATGAAGATGGCGGTCTTTTTTTCACATGCAGGAACTTTTCAATAGCCCACATATTCCTGAACGAAGTAACAAACCTTTTGAATGTAAATGAAAAGGAAAAATATTAAACATTAAACTCCCTTTACATCATAACTTGATTTAGTATGCCTTAATATGCAGCTACTAAGCAGAATTACGAATAGAATGTCATTCTAGGGGGCAGAGTGAGATTTTACGGACGACATGCTTTCAGGTACTCATTGTCATAACCACCAGTTAGCAACAGCATATGGCACTAGCACAACTTCATTGTCATCTAAGTTGAAGAATGTCCAGCATATACCAGGGCAAATAACTGAAGAAAAGAAACTTCTATCCAATATTTCTTCCAACATTCAAGTAGATTAAAAATCTGCTCACAATAAGGGTAGGTAGATCCAACTTATCCTCCTCGCCAATAAGAACCATAGAAGCCAATCCACAAAACGTGTACCTACAGATAAGGAGAATGACACAACAAGACAGGACCAGATAGAGAGGAAAATATGAAAAAAAATCGAGAATCTAACCTTTTACAGCACAATGCTTTGCAAAGAAAGGGATTTAAAAGAGAGCACAATCATACTAATAAAAGTAAGTCAAGCTGAAGGACCTATTGCAGAACAAAAACATACCCACCATGAGCTTCAGAACCAGGCTCCCCAGCAATACCACCTTCATACGTCTGACAGCTAAAAAATCGACACAGAAAGTGTTAACACAATTTAACACTAAATAAAGAAAATAACAGCAAAGATTGAGAAACTGTAACCATCTCTTTAGATTTAGAGCCATTACTAAGAAGACACAATTCTGAAATTCTCCAGGCCTTATAAAAGAGTCTGCTCTGTATATCAAGGTCGAAGAAAGAAAATACTATATGTAAGAAAGAAATCACAGCAAGACTATCACCCAACAAGGGTAAATACTGACACAGAAATATGCATGTTACCCATAAAATTTATTGGGATTGTACTTCAGTTGACCAACGTTTGTTGATGATAGAGAAATTCGAGGCGGAATACAGCAGCTCCATGGATGTGTGTAGTTTGGAGCGTGTATGCTCCATGATTGTGTATGTTATATGTAGGAGTTCCAAATTTCACCATCACAGCGTTACCATGAAGAAAAAACCAGAGCCTCCCATGGGAACTTGGATATCGTAGCCACTTGCATTGTCATAAATTTTTTTTATCAACCCATAAAAATAGCAAAAAAGTATAGGAGTCAGGGAGTCTAATTGAACGCCAAGCATTGATTATGCATTTTGATTGCCTTATTTCTAGCTAAGTGAAAAATGACGCAAACAGAAAATACATATCGCAAAATCTGCATGTTTCATCTGCGAAATCATTATTAATGAAAACAATGCAACGAACCTTAAAATGTAATTCCCAACATCCTCCACGAGTTTCTGGTCTAAAATGTTCAAGCAACTAGCAACCTAGATGAAAAACGAAGCAGGACCATAGAGGTTATACGAAGCAGCAAATGGATCACGAAATGAAAACAGAATGTCTAGATTCTCCCAAATGAATGGAATATATGAAATCAACAGCAATCACAAACCAGCAAACAATATTTGAAGATACCCAAATATTAGCTTTTATTAATGTTATGCAGAACAAGTTTTTCCATATTAGGCTTTCCTTCTATTTTCCTTTCTGCCCTATTATTAGATTTATTTTCTTTTTCATGTTTCTGTTACTAGACCTTTCTGTAATACCAGAAAGGTTTATAAGATGCCAATATAAATACTGGCATACTGCCCTGAGAAGGGCTAAGTCAGTTTTCACTTTCCTGCTTCTGCTGTATCTCGTAACATGGTATCAGAGCTTTCTCTCTGATCCTGTTTGAAGACAGCCGACAGAAGATCAACCAACCTTGGTGGTGACGACAACTCCACATTGTAGGGAGTGTCACCTGGTTATCTTCTTCCTGCCTGCAGTACTTGAAATCGTTAGGTTTCTTGGTCATAAGCAGACCGGTGGATTCCTTGGACAGTGGCAGTTATTCTCAGTTTTTTGAACAGAAACTATTATTCGGACCACATCAGGGAATCTCTATTTGAGATTTTTTTGGCTATCTGGTCACGGCTGAAGAACATGGAGACAAAGGTCAGTGAATCATCATCCTTTGACCCAAGACATTCATTTGAAGTAATTAAGGTATGTTCAGATCACCCTAAAATTACTGAGAGATTCCGATTTGACGGAATCAATTTGTTCCAATGGACATCATATGTGACACTTATTCTACGTGAGAGGAATCTGGATCTCACCTGACGTAATCCTTGTCAAGTATTGACAACTTAGGATATTCTCAGTGGAAAAAAGAAGAAGCACTGATTCAATATTGGATGCTAGACAATATTTCACCAAAGATAAGTAATAGATTTCTTTTTTTGAAATCTGTAAAGGAATTATGGGACAAGGTTCATCATGTTCACTCTACTAAACATGACGAATCCCATATTTATAGATTGGTACAGAAATCTCTGACTTTAGTATAAGGAACATTGATTGTTCTGGAATATGCTTACGAATTGGATCCATCTGAAGAGAAATTGACCACTACAGACCAATCAAGAACCCTGATATTGAAGAACGAAATTATATCATGAAAGACAGACTGTATAAATTTCTAATGGGGCTAAATCTAGAAAATGAGACTCTAGTAAATCAGATCCTTGCTCAGGAAGTAGTACCAAATATTGAAGAGGTAATTGCATTAGCCAGATAAGAAGAAAATACTAGAAATTTGAGAAATAATTTAAAGACAGAAAATGTTGCATTCAGCACTCTCAAGGGTAAAAATATCTATGTATTAAAAAAGGGGGATAATAAAGTATCATTCTTCAAAGGAGATCCTAAGACTGACCCGAAAGCACACTTATTTTCAACTTATAGTTGGAAAAATCATCACACTAAGGAGGCATGCTGGAAGACCCATGGCAAACCACCAAATTATGGTAAGTTGCATTTGGCTAATGCTCAAAATGAAGATGATATTGAGCCCATGATTCAAGGAGTTAGTCAAGATGGATCTACTTTCTCTCAGCCTTTCAAAGATTAAAAAACTCAGAGAAGAAATTGAACAGCCAAGGAGAATGATCAGCTCCACTTCCCTCACATATGCTAGTAAGTATTTTCCTAAACGTTTTTCATTATGCTTAAATACCTCATCATTGGCATCACCTTCACCCCAAAAAGTATCCTGGATCATTGATTTTGGAGCTACTGATCATATAACACCATATGCATCACTATTCATAACATATGAGGTATGTACCAATAATCAGAAGGTGACTACTATAAGTGGGGATTGTTACCTGTAGCTAGCATTGGATCAATTTATCTTGAAAAATTAGGGTCATTAAGATATATTCTTCATGTTCCAAGGTTGAATGCACATCGATTGTCATTGAAAAAATTAGGTAAAGACTTGAATTGTCTGATATTATTTGACGACGATTTCAGTTTCTTCTATGATAAGACCTTGGGCAAGAGGATTAGACATGTTAGAGCATGGGATGGACTCTACTGCATAGGATGTATGGACAAGACATTATTGACGAATTTCAGTCCAAACATTTCCACTTTTGCTTCTACTTCTCCCTTGAACAAATTGTTGTTGTTGCATTGTCGTTTAGGACATCCATCCATAAAAGTACTTCGATATTTATTTCCAAAACTATGTCATACAATTGGTGTATCTACTTTCATATGTGAACCCTATCAAATACCTAAGCAGCAACGAATTTCATTTCCTTCTACTAGAAATAAAAGTGAATCCCCTTTTTACATAATACATTCTGATATATGGGGTCCTTCATCCAGTGGTGTTAGGGACTTCAGATGGTTTTTGTGGATGATTGTACTAGGTTCACATGGATTTACCTAATGAAAATAAAATCACAAGCCAATAGTGTCATTCAGAGGTTTATCAAGCTAATTCAAAATCAGTTTAGTATAACTCCTAAGAAATTCCAATCAAACAATGCTAAGGTTTTTTCCAATTCTATTATCTCCAATTTCTTTGTAAAGGAGGGCATTGTTCATGAATTTTCTTGCCCCTATACACCCCAGTAAAATGGGGTAGCTGAAAGAAAAATTAGGCAACTGCTGGAAATTACAAGGGATGTCATGTTTAAAGCCCAAGTGCCGAAGTACTTATGGAGTGAGGCAGTACTAACGGTCACTCATCTTGTTAATCGTCTCCCATTAGAAGCATTATTATTTAAGACTCGCAAAGCCTTATTACAGGGTCATTATCTTACTGTGCAATATGGACCAGATTTACCTCTTCGAGTATTTGGGAGTGTTACATATATCCATCAATCGCAAAATGGACTGTCTAAATTTACCCCTAGAGCCATAAAGGTAGTCTTTGTGGGCTATTCCAATACACAAAAAGGATATAAATTTTATAACCCAAGATATCAAAAATTTATTGTGACAATTAATGTCACATTTGATGAAAGTAGCATATATTTCCAGTAGATAACGACTCAAGTATCTAGCTATGCTATTCCTGTGCTAGAAAAACATGATTTACACATTGAGATTCTCAATGAGAATGAAGTTCTTAAAATGATACCAGTAAATTTTCCAACTCCACCTCCACCAAATCGATTTGGTCAAAATTATTATCAAAGAAAGCCAAAGATAATCAGAGATACCAATGAATAGGATCTGCCTGATGCAACAGATGCCTATGAACATCCTGACGCAGCAGATACCCATGAACAAGATCTACTTGACGCAACAGATGTCCATGATTCTATTATTGAATATGACAATTCACTGATTGATCAACAGAACCTTCTTATTACTCAAGGAGATAAAATTTGCCCTATTGCTCTTCACAAAGGAATAAGAGAATGTACAAAGAAAAAGGTATATCCATCTTGCAATTATGTATCTTATCATCACCTATCTCCACAATATAGGTAATTTCTGTCAACACTTGATAAACACAATACTCCTCAAAACACTGATGAAGCTTTAAGAAGCCCTCCATGAAAAAAAGCAATGGAAGAGGAGATGTTAGCTCTACAAAATAATCAAACTTGGGAACTTATGCTACTTCTTAAATGGAAGAAAACCGTGGGTTGTAGATGATTATACACTATTAAGTATAAATCTGATGGGACTGATGAGCGTTTTAAAACTCGACTGGTGGCAAAAGGCTTTACCCAATGTTATGAGATTAATTACATAGAGACCTTTGCTCCAGTTGTGAACATGCGAACAGTTTGGATATTAATATCCTTGGCTGTGCATTATAGATGATCTTTATTACAATTTGATGTGAAAAATGCATTCTTGCATAGAAAAATCTCAGAAGAAATATATATATGGAGCTTTCACCAGGGTACAAAGACCCAAATGATATTCTAAAAGAATGCAGATTTAAGAAGGCATCATATGGCTTAAAATAGTCACCAAGAGCTTGGTTTGGCCACTTAACTAAAACAACATGAGCTTTGGGATTCAAGCAAGCTAATAGAGATCATACCTTATTTTGTAAACAATCGAGTTCAGGAAAAATGATGATCATACTAGTATATGTCGATGACATGATTGGCACAGGAGATGATATGCAAGAAATCACTTCTCTTCAAAAACAACGGACGGCTGTTTTGATATCAAAGTGTTCAGACAATTAAAATACTTCTTGGAAATTGAGGTAGCCTACTCTCGTGGAAATTTATTCCTATCTCAAAAAAAGTATATTACAGATTTACTCAAATATACAAGCATGAGTAACTGTAAACTAGTGTGTACACCAATTGAAGCTAATATACTCAACGGCTCATGGGAAAATTAATTTATCTATCCCATACTAGACCGGATATTGCTTACTTAGTTGAGGTGCTAAGCTAATATATGCATGACCTTTGGGAGGTACATCATCAAGCTGCTCAATGAGTCCTAGTCTATCTTAAAGAAACAATTGGCATGGGAATCCTATTTAAAAGGGGAGATTCTCTTACAGTAGGCATCTATACCGATGCTGATTATGCTGGTTCAGTTGATGATAGGCGCTCTACTACTAGGTATTGTTGTCTCATTGGAGGAAATTTGATCACTTGGCAAAGCCAAAAATAGAGAGTTGTGGCTTGATCAAGTGCTGAAGCAGAATTTAAGGCTATGGCCCTTGGGATTTGTGAAGGCATTTGGATAAAAAATATACTAAATGACTTAAAAATACCTATGGAAGGTTTGATTACTTTGTTCTGTGACAATCAGTCCACAATATGTATTACACATGTTCCTGTTCAGCATAACAAGACCATACACATTGAAGTAGAAGAGACATTTTATTAAACAGAAACTTGAATCGAGGATGTTTTGCACAGAGTATGTCTCATGTACAAATCAGTTGGCTGATATATTAACTAAGGGAATTTCTGCAACAGAGTTTTACAAACAAAGGAGCAAGCTGGGCATGAATGATATCAACGCACCAACTTGAGAGGGAGTGTTACGCAGAACAAGTTTTTCTATATTAGGCCTTCTTTCTATTTTCCTTTCTGTCCTATTATTAGATGTATTTCCTTTTTCATATTTCTGTTATTAGTCCTTTCCATAATACCGGAAAGGTTTATTAGACGCCAATATAAATACTGGTGTACTGCCTGACAAGGGCTAAGTCAGTTTTCCCTTTCCTACTTCCACTATATCTCGGAACAATTAACAGCATAAATATCTGTTTAATAGGAACTAAAGCCATCCATTCAAAAAAAGTTGAATACATGGATCCCTATTTACCAGTATGTCTTAGCTTCAGAGTGGATTAACTCAGTTGCTGGGCATCTATTTCAGTCTATCATTCAATTTTCTACCAGTCCGTTGCAGGCTTTCCTGTTCCTTGGTCTGTCTGTCCTGCAGATACTAATCTCAGGTTATTCTACAACCAGCCAAATTTTAGTCAGTTAGGTACTAGCTTTAGATCAGATATCAAGGACTTAGACATGTATAGGTCCACATAAAGCTAGGGGAACGGAATGAAAAGCTCAATCTATTAAAAGTCCATTCATTTCACAAGGCTCCTTCTCCCTCTCCATTAATCAGATATGCAGGGATCGAATCAGAGGGTGGGTGTAACTCTTCCTAATAATAAATTATTGATTACCATCACTTGATCCCAAAAGATTGGGGTAGGAGAACCCATTGGTCCGAACTTTTTTTCTTACAAGCAAGCCTCTAAAACGAAAAACCCAGTGAGAATTATTTCATCAACAGTCAGGTTCATGATTTCAACGAAACATTCAGCACCTATCATATCCAATAATCTATACACCAGGAAGAAGAAAGATGGATTCCTTTGTAAACATCCATTCATAAAATTGCATTTCAAGTGACTTGACAACATTAGCATTAGAGGATCAAACATGGGAGGATAGACGGACCAGTTATGGAAATTGTGAGGCCAACATTATTGTCCCTCCTATTGACCTGATATAACAGGTCAGATACGCATGGTGAGGAGCTCATTTAGACGTCAAAGATGTCATTTAACCGGCTAGAAACAGAAATTAAACATTAAGAAAAAACTCCAGCAGAAGACGCCACATTGGAAACCTCATTCATTCTGTGTAATGGGTGGGTTGAACTTTTTTTAAGAGATTTTGTGTGGATATAACGAATCTTTTTGCCGGAGATGCCTGAAAATGTACCAGATTAAATGTTGTCAGCATCTTGCAACTTAATGTCCTACGTTGGAAATGTCTGAGAAAACTGTAATTTGATGAGCCTATGTTTTTTCATTCTGAAATCCACACCACTAACGACCAGACGATGCTAATTTTCCAAGAAAATCCCAATTCAAACTGTATCATTTGATATTGCTTTCTAATTGCCTTATACACAAGCAAATAGCTTGTTCAAGAAAGAAAATACAGATGCAAAGAAACGGAAAATTAGGCCCTCGAAAAATTGTCATATTACGATGGAAATTTTTAACCTAGAACCATTTGTAAAGAAGAGAAAATAATTTTCCATCACATGACAAGGACAAAAATAACTTAATGGCTGGTCAGCTATTAGCACATAACGTTGAGAGTTACAGTCCCGAGCCCAGTGTATTCTGCATAATATTGAAGAGCAATGTCCAAAACAGATACTTGCGACTAAAGATACATCAGCCCAAAGGATAGGTATAAACAACAATAGGAATAATACATTTGAAAACAGGCTATAAATGTAGATAAGGAAACCTCTGAAACAATGACAAAGATTAGCAAAAGAAATGACTCACAGAAATTGCTGTATAGCAAGCCCGGACATCAATTTCTCCTCCATCATGCATTCTAGTGAAAATAAAGCAAGACTCGTTATTAGATGAGAATGCATATCTAGTGAGTACGTTTTCAAAAGGCCAATGGATAAAAATTGTATAAATCAAGCTCGTATCTCTAAGATTTTAATATTACAGTGAATGATGCATTCAGAGCAAGCGAATAAATTTAAGGTATCCATAATAGCCATATTCAGCATGTGAGGAGAAAAATGTAAAAGATCGCTGAATAGGATCAAGAGCATTCTCAATTAATTGCTAAGAATGATCCCGTATTGAGTACGATAACACCAAATATATGATTATAAAAATGAGGGTATTTCCTTCATTCCCAATCGCTTTGAATTAGATAACTAGATTACCTTAACAAACTCATGGATTGCTCTTAGACCGCGTGCAACTCGTCTACAGTATATACATGACAATGACAGAAAATTGGGTCTAACACGATGGGAATGTTAAGAATGGTCACACTTCGATGACTACAAGTTAATAATAAAGATGAAGCTAGTTCACTCATTGCCACTGGGTTTTGAGTTGGTGTGGAACCACCAAGGTTAGCAATAATTAATCATTCTGAAAGCAGTTGTAAAGCAGGAAATGAATGAGCCCAGAATCTGGTATAGTTAAGTTCCGAGTGGCAATTTATATAAAGAAAATAGGCCAATGCGTAGCCATATCACTGCACAAGAGAGGTAAAATCAGACGTGTATCTTGGAAGGGCCATGTACCTGACAGCACCACAGCTCAATTAGCTGTAAGACCAGAAGTACGGGACATTCTCTTCTTGAGAATAAAACAAGGATCAAATAAAGGGTGTAGGCATTCAATTTTCACACAAAAAATCTTAGGTGGGCAAGTTCATTCTAATTAGCCATCTAAGGCTTCTTCTAAGGGTAAGATGCTGAGGTTGTGTTTCAGTGGTGCTCTGTAAATATATCAAGCGTAGGAAAATGTAGGCATTTGCTTTTTTTTGAAGCAGATGATGCAGGGTTGCAATAGCGAAAACAGAGCCGTCTCACATCCGGATGATGACAAATGACCCAGAGAAGATAGACTATAGTTATAGTGGGAGAATGGAAATGTAACACAGAGAAGATTGAAGGGTTATCGAAAGATGTTTCTTCGTCAATTCAGTTAATCATTGCAACTTCTCCATTTGGGAATGAGCCACAAAGGAACCAAAAGCATTAATTCAATTGCATGAAATGATGTGGTGATGTAATGGCATATTGTCCACTAGGTTCTAAACAACTAGAATCCTATTCTATTGAACTAACTTCATTTAAAAATCAACAACCATTATCGTCAGTGACACAAATACACAGAACAAATGTAAACTTCATCATCCCATCATAACGTCCTGAGTTAACCAAAATCTAATAACTTTTCTCTGTCAAATTTGATAATGTGATGCAAAAATTAAAACTTTATCAAGAAAAAAAGTCTTTAAGTACATGGTTCGGGCATATTAAAACAAACCATTCAAGGTTTGTGTCCCAAATACAATAAGTTTCTGAATAGTATAACATATAGATCTTCTACATAAGATTAATTATGGCCAATAATGCCTATCATTAAAAACGTTATCCTAAGCTGTGAAAGGAAGAAATAGGTAGACAGTGAAATCCCTAAATCACATAAGACTTTCATATAATTGAATCCCTTTCCTAGACTGATCTCTTAGAAAAAGACATGCCACGTGAATGACTTTCAAAGACAATGCTAAGATGATGAACGTGTATACTAGACAAGAAGAACTTCAAAGTGTAAGTAATCTCACCTAAAGGCCCCAGAGACATCCTTCATTCGCAATAAAAATGAGTGAATTTTATGTCTGAAATATGGAAAATTATCTGGTCAGTTTTTATAAATCATAAAGTGTGTGAATGTTCTCATAAAAGGTTATTAATAAAGTAAAAATGACCACCTATTTATTGATGACAAGGCCCTCTCTGTTCCTAACGTAATAAGAGAGTTTACAGCGGCATATGTTGAGGCTACATGAGACAACTGACACAACAACCATTCATGAAGGCTTGATGAGAACAAAATAAAAGAACTGATTTCACATCTTCAATCATACTTCGCGCTCATACTTAAAGCTGAAGCATTTCTAACAAAGGAGGGAAATGCTCAACACAGTTTTGATGAAACAGACCTGACCAGGTCCACCACCATATCCTCCTTCATTATCCTGCAAAGAAAATCAAAGTTACGATAGTTAACATTGCCAATTAAGGGATTCGACAGTTTGTCAGAGTTGAGGTACATTGTAGATCGTCCATCTTGATATGAGGCAATATGTTTCCCAATAATTCATCATAAATTGCAACTTTCCGGCATTTCACTATGATGAGCATCTCCATTACAATGCCAAAAGTTATATTATTTCTTCCCATTAATTTTATTCTGATTCATCAAACAATAAGAATAAGACAATGTTACATTTCATCAATCCCCATATAAAACCTTTGTGAACAAAAATCAAGGCCCCGCCATGTAAAATAGCACCATTACCAGAGCCATCTGATGATTGAATCTAATTCAATGGACCTGTAACTGAACTGGCAGCTGACATCAAATGAGAAGAGGAGTTGAACGTGAGAGGTTCAATACCTGACAAAGGGATAGGAAATCCACCACATTATTCTCCATCTCTGAATCCACGGACTCTCCCAACAAGGCAAGTGAGTGCAGAATCCAGTAGCACAACCAAGGACGACTGGAGCAATCAGAAGAAGAGTAAAATTCTATGAGATAAACTAATTCAAAGGCCCACGCCGAGCTGTACAAAAATAGTCAGACATAGCAAGGATCCGTCGACCAATTACAGGAAAAAAGCGCGGGAAAGAAGAGGAAAAGGACATGAGACAAGTCAGCATGGAGGAAACAACGATGGAAAATGTGAAAGTCTTCGAACTTGCTTGGCATCGAGGACATGAAAGTTTGGCCCCAGCTGTCTCAAACCCCTTGTTAAGTACTCGATATGCTTGTCACGCCAAAGCTCCAACCTACACAAAACACCGAGACATGAAATTAAACAAAACAACTTAAAATAAAAGTCCCTCAGCTGCAGGATGTAAAAAAGTGCGCGACTATACACATTCAATCCGGAGAATTAATGCAAACAACGAGATCCCCCAAACCAGCAGAAAAGAGATGAGAAGAGACGACGGAAACAAAGCAACCGTGGAAGTCGGCACGGAAATTACATGCTTTCCTGCGTTTGAAACGATGCGTCTTCCAGGGACTGCAATATCCCAAAAACGCGCCCTTCAGCGGCGATCTGATCCCGCTGAGTCACCGTCAGTCTCTTCTGGGGAGGAGCCGCCGAAGAAGAAGGCGAGGAACCGTCACCCGCAGATTGCTCCATGGCCGCCCCGCCTTTCCTCCTCTCACCCCTTCTGCTACTGGCGAGTAGTCGGCCTCTTATCCTCCTTCCTAGGCCGCATTCTCCATCGCCAAGGTTGGAAATGCCGCGACGAGTCGCCGGTGGCCACCCCACTCGGCTCAGTGGAACACCAGCAACTCGGATCTTGACTCAGCTGAAGGTCAACTGTTTTTCATCAATTTATTTTTTTAAAATGAATTTTTAAGACTAAATAAATAAATATCATAAAGTCTTCTCCTAGTCCCTTTAGAAGGTTAGATTAATAATATTATGATTTAAAGGGGTAATATCAATAAAATGACGTCAATGAAGGTACCACTTAGGTAAGATCTTTATGTCATCCTAGTCTGCAACAATTAGGCGCAGATCTTCTCCTCCACAGATCATTTTCAACAAGAATTGATTGCAGGTAGTCATTGGAATTGAACTCGAGACTGATTATAGAAAACCAGATCAATAGGGAACACAATGGGGAGAGAGAGATAAAAGATGGGAGAGGCCTAACAAGGACTCTACTGGAGGAATGGGGGAAGGGGGAGGCAAGATAGCTGATATCCAAGACTATGAAGAGATTGCAAAATTCTTCCTCCCTCTCCTTTTGAAATTAGGCGATCATATAAGTTGTCCTTATCCATTGCTTTGTCAATTGCTTCTACTTTGGACCATTAATTTTTCTCTAAATGGTTCGACTGCTCTAAATCTATTGTCAACAACTTGATCGCTTCAGAACTAGATTATTTTATTTCAGAGAAGATGGGTTGACTCATATTCCTTTTCTAGACCATTGTTAGTAAACCTACCAACTTGAACCCTAGGGAACCCACCTTGGACATTGCTTCTACCTCCATTTGGTAGAGAAGTATTGGCTACTCCCTCCTAAGAGATTCACCTTGTCTTCAATGTGAAAATCAAGAAATTGGAGGTGGATGATGCAACCCAAGCAGACTCCCACGTGGCTTCAGTAGTTAGTAGGTTGCACTACCTGATAAAAACTTCTAGGCCAAATTAGTTGAGATCCTTGTCCAAATTGGAGATAGCTGATGGGGCTAGGGGTGAGCGATCCTTTCACTTTCTTGAGCTAGGACATGTGGAAGACTAGGTGGAGACTGACCATTGGGCATAACTTTAGCTTGTAAGTCACCAGCCCAATGCACTTCACAACCTTAAACGGGCTGAAGAAGTCGGGTTAGCTTCTCATGGGGCCGTTGTGCGAAGGATTGTTGATGGTAAAGACTCAATCAAAGGAAAATAGAGTCACCTAGCTGAAATTTGGTATCTTGACATTGCTGGTTGGCATGTGCCTTCATATAGGCACGAACTCAACTCAAATAGTGCTTGAGTTGATAGAGTGTCTGGTCTCATTCTCACAAGAGGTAATCAACACCATTTGTTTTTCCCTAAGTTGGAATCATACTAAAGAAGAGTTAGAGGCTTGCAACTATAAACGATCTGAAAAATAGAAAACCCCACCAAGGAATTATAGTTAGTGTTTGATAAGTCTTCATTATCATGAGTTAATAATTAGTAAATAATATAATTTTAGCCTTAACTCGTGATAAATAGACTTATATTTGTGTTAAAGTGGGAAAAGTGGTTTTCAGTTGATTAATGTGATTTTTTGGGTAATTATGTGATTTTATACGAATTTATATGATTTTTACAGTCTTACTTTTGAGATAAATGAAGAAAAAGAAATAAAACTAAAATATTACAAAATGGGGGGACCCGCCGGCCAGCCGGGCCTGCAAGCAGGTCGGAAGTTCAGTCAGGGAGTAGCCGTGAGCAAGGGCTCGAGCGGCTTGGACCGATAGGGGCACGTGTGCGCCACTCCCCTTCCACATCACCGGTGGCCAGCCGGCTGTGGGGCAAGGAGTGGTCGTACACACGAGAGAAGGAACTTTGCTTAGAAACGTAACATTACTATATATTCGTCCAAAAAATCCGCACACAACCGATGTGGGACTAAACCCGCGTCACACCTTCCTCAGAAGGGGTGGACAACTGGCGCGGATACAAATCCTCCCAGAGTCAAAATTCATATATTTTTATCTGATTATCGCGACTTTTCTGCAGATCGCCGGTGAAGGATTAAGCAACGAGAATCACCGGATCATCGGCGAAAATCTCGTCAACACAATTCGCGGAGCATTGCTACTAAAATTATTGAACGATTCGCGATAAAAGGATCGCGAATCCATCGAGTAAATCATCTCTAATAGATCAACGAACAAGTCATCGTCAGGAAGAGGACGATCCGCCGGGAGACGAGTCGCCACCTCCTGAGAGTGTACCAGATGCGATGAAGAGCCTCCTCTTGCTGCGTAGACCTGAGGATGAAGCTCCCTAACATGCGCCCCACCTCCATCCGGCTCCTCTCTGTCGGGTGACAACCACCGGAGAGCCGCAAAGTTGCCATTTTTCTGCTCCGCCGGGTGACAGCTGCCGAAGACGACTCGACGACCCATTTCATTAATCTCTAGACTTCGCGAGAAGATCTAGAAATTGCCCACGTCATCTTTGTCCAAGGAGAGCCTTCGAGGCTGTGGACACTACACGACGATCCTTCCGAACGCTCAGGATTTCGGTGCATCACCGACGCATCGCCGTCGCGACGTCAGAACTCTGTTTTCCTACTTTTAACTTACTTTACGCTTCATTTAGTGATAATTTTTGTGTTTTTAATTTACCAAAATATACCTTGTTCAATTACGATTCTTACAGCTTTTATAGATCTTAATTTGATTAATTAAATCGTCTGTAATCGCTTACATAAGAATCGCCGGGCGGAACTCTGTTTCCATCCGATTCGCGTTCGCCGGGCACTGACGTCATCTTGACGTCCGCACCCTTATTTCCCTTTTTTGTGAATTTTAAATATATTTTCTTTTCATTTCCTAGTATACAATTCATAGAAAATCGTATTCATTGAGAAAAATTCTGAATAATTACCATATATTATATTACATCCCTGTGATTAACCTGGAAAATTACCGCTATTTTTGGAAGTTTTATTGAATTATAATTGATATATTTGTTCAGAAATACTTCTAAATATCTGAAAATTCGTATTTTCTAGTTTTATAAATTTTATATTTGTGTGATTTAATATACAACGACTGAGTCACGTCAGTGTTGAACTAAAATTTCACCCACAAGAGTCAACTACTCTTTTATTTTGGTTGATCTCCTACAAAGCAACAAAGATAAGTTTCAAGACTATACTTCATGAACTATGACTAATTGTTTGCCTATAGATGGTAGGAGCTTTTTTGGTGTAGGGTCGTCTTGTAATGCTTGAAATGTTCCTCTCCAAATGTTGGTGATGATCAATTTCAAGAATCCATGAAGCCACATGATGTCTTAGATGAAAAATCAGAGTTATGTCTTCGGCGGTGAAGGGACATCATAGCACAGAAAATTAGTGTATTTACTCAATTAATTGACTATGAAAAGGATCGTGTTATATCCGTTGAAAACCAACAAGCCTTCAACAAAATCAATCATATATCTGATCCATAATAGGTAGTGGTGGAACGAGACCTCTCAACAACAAGAATTCTACCTGATTTTTTCTAATAGATCTAATAACTAGCCATGAATTTTATGATGCAGCTCTTCATGCATCTCTAGTAGACATTTTGTAAAATTTGATGGTCACTTTTTTAGAAATTAGAGTGCACACCTATCGTGAAGTAATGAAACTCTTATAAAAACATCAAAATTAAGGCCAAGGTTTTGAAAGAACAAACAACCCTTGATAGAATAGAGTCTCCTACTAAATTGTATATTATGGATAATCATCTACTTGGAGGAAAATTCAATGGAGAATGTTGGCCAACAATTGGTTATGTTCTCTTTGGTGATTCGTTAAAGATCCAAGAGCTTCAATCATGATAATTTCGTCACATGTGGGAGAGTATGTTTCAAAGTTCAAGATAGGGATGTTGATAATACATATGCCCTCAGTGTTGACACACACAATGTGTTTTGACACATAATGAAATGCATTTATTTATAAATTATTATTAAATAAGTTCAAAAATAATTCATTCATATACATCACAATTACTTTTATCTAAAATTATTATTGATAAACATTCAAATTACTAACAATGATGATGCTCTATGCAATCTTATGGTTAAGAATAAATCTAATGAGTCATGCCCTTGAGATATCTTTTGTATTAAGACAATATAATGTAATATTATTTGAATGTAAACATAACATAACATGTGTCAACACGTGTGACTAAGTCTCACATATATTCTGAAAAATAAAAATTACTAGCAACATTTGAATATAGTACCTAAGCAATGTGAAGAAAAGAGTGTTAGTGTGAACAATATCTGAAGTATCAAAAGTCAATAATAACAAATATGGGATTTGAACTTAAGAAGTAAGATTTGCAGAAGTAGAAAAAGTACAACTGAAATATTTAAATCTTAGTATAAGATTTATTTAAAATTAAAAATATTATGGTGACAATGTGGAAAGTTCGTCAAAATATTCAAAATAAAAATATGTGATCATTGACTAAAGAAAAACGTAAACCTAGGACCTACAAGATAATTGAGCTAGATCGTTCGCATGAAGTAAAAGAGATAGAGAAGTCATCCTCACGTAACCTCATAGTGACATGTTAGAGTCATACATAAATAAAATAATAAAGTGAAATTATAATTTTCAACCTAGTATCAAGAGCAAGACCAACTATTGAAGAATCATGAATCTCTAAATAGAAGCTTCGAAGACCACTTATGAGAAACTTTTGTGTTTCGAAGCAAACAAAGATTCAAAGTCAACTTTGCACACTCTGGATGTTAATACTTTATCAAAGTTTGTGAACTAAGTGACAAGTTCAACGACATTATCTTAGCTCAATTCTAAAGACAAAGGCATCCCTTTAATCAACTAAAATTTTTCAAATATGATATCAAAGACAATATAACTACAAGCAAAAAGATCTAACTTGAAGTATGATTAATGATTAGAAACATATATTATGAATAGTAACTCATTAGTAGAAGATGTGGACTAAAGACAAGACAAATAATCTTTTTTGAGTAAGACCCTAAAAGAGAAAATATTCATTGATCAATTGTGAATCCTTAAATAAGATATCATGAGCAACTATCACCTTAGTAAAAAGTAACTATGTCACTAGAGTGCTAATAGAGCAATAGAAAGATATTCAAGTTAATATGAATATTTTCAAATGTTAAAGTGGCATGAATATGTTAGATTATAAGAAGGATGAGCTAAGAACGAATCCAAGTTAACACTAAATAAAAAAAATATTCGTATCATTCGCATAAGCTCAAGAAGATCCATTCAACTTTCTATAACAACCAATTGCACATCTCAAAACAGGATTCAAAGCTTCATCTTACTCAATTATCTACAGCAACTTACTCAATTGAAGGTTAAGACAGAGAGATTAGAGTGACTATGTAATAAAATTAAGAGTTTTAGGTTAATTTACATATATACTTCATATACTATATTAGAACATGTGTCGACATATATATATAATAAACAAATGTAGAAAATCAATTCACCCCACCTCTTAGTACTTTATTTAGTCACACCAAGCCTAATAGACAGCTTTCTTCTCAACATCAGCCTTGAATTAGATTTTGAAATTAAATATAGTTATCTTTGAGAGACACTTCCGATGGTCTAGAAGTCTTGTCACTACTCTATTAGATACTTCAAACTCTTTTAAATTAGTAAACATGACAAATCTCTAGCATAATAGGTAATGCTTTCACTTTAAAATGGCCAAGACGATTGCCAGCAACTCCAAATTGTATAGGGTCTCCAATTTCACAACTATCATCAATACTTTATTGAAGTAGGTGATTGGTCTCTACTTCTCCATCAAAACAACCCCGACTCCTCAATTGGAGGCATCAACTTCAAGTTCAAAATTTTCAAAAAAAATGAGAGATAATATCATGGATGTCGTTAGTGTTGTATTTAGTGTCTAGAAAGTTGTTTTTGCTTTTGGCCTTAGTTGAATGTGCCATTTTTGAGCTGCTATGTGAGCACCCACACTTTCATCTCATAACCAGCAATGAATCACCAACAGTATCTTACCAATTTGAAGAATCTCTAGAGCTCACAAAAGATAGCCAATTGCTTATCCTTCCTCTGCTTCCACTACCAAAGTCAATCCCAGTCCATATCGATGGAATGACGGAGTCATCCATCTAATAATAAACTGGGAACTACAAGTTCATCCTTAAAGACCCAATGGCCTAAGTAGGTGATCTTGAACAAGCTGAAGGAACATTTTCTCAAATAAATATGGAGTTTATGCTTGTTGTTAAAGCTAGATTTATGTGTTTTAATTAGTTTTATTATTTGATTTTATTTTTTTAACTTGTAAAATAAATATATGATATATTATTAATTTTAAAAGTCTAAAGTTATCATACTTAGCATAATTTTTTATTATTAAAATAAAAAATATAAAAAATATAAAAAATTTCTTCTACATGCTAGCAAGTTGGCACTCAACAACTGACCTAGAGGGGGGACAGTAGTCAAGTAGGTAGACCTAGACCGGGGGAGCCACAAGCTGGGCTCAAGTGGCAAAGGCCTCGCTCCACGCACATGTGTGTTGCTCCCCTTCCACGTTCTGGTGGCCAACTGGTCGTGGGACAAAGAGTGCCCGTACACAAATGCACGCGTGAGGGTAGACCACCTTATTACCTTCTCCCAAGATGATCTTGGGCATTATTTTATTTTGGGAGAAGGGATCTTTGTTGAGAGAGAACAACTTTGATTTATATTCAGCTTAAACGATAGCAAACTTTTGATGTGGGACTAAATGCTTTCATCTGTTTTAGTGCAACCATCTAGAGCGTGGTGTGATCCAGCGGTACGCAGCAAGTCACGTCATCAGATTAGCTAGATCTTGTAGCTAGCGAATCGCCACAATACTAGATGCATAAAGCGATTCATCTATAGTTCACAAATCTGACGCCGCTCAATACATACATGGCCTTAAAAGATGATCAAACGGCTAAGGCAATGCCACAATATGAGGAACTTAAGTTCTTGATCGGCAAGGGTTCATAGCAGGTTGATCTTGCATCGCTCAATGCGCCACGTGACCAAGCATATCTCATCAGTGGCTCATGAAGTGCCACAATATCGAGAACTTATGTTATCACATGTATCATCATTAGGGATATAAAAAAAATAATCGATTATTATTTGGTAAAATAGACATCATCAATTATCTTTAAAATCTTGATAGGAGTCACGAATACAACAATTTGTTCTTCCCTCCTTTTGCACAATTGACGTCTCTAGCAATCGGCAAGCTTCTTCCTTCCTCCCTCAACTACACTCAAGGCCTCCAACAAGTGGTCAACTCTTTCATTCTCTCCCTAGAGGACGATGACAGCATGGTCGACCCCTCTTTCAGTGGATCTCTTCAGCAAGTGACGCAATACTTTTGGATGATACTTCTATGACTTTTGACGTGGTATGGCATGTCAGAACGAAACCAAGCCGTCACACCAATGTCTCTAGTTGCCCAAGAAGCAAACTAAACTTAGGCAATGATTTATTTCTTGTTTTCAACATTTACTTATCTACTTTTGTCATTTTTTTACATTTTATAATAAGTTCTTTCCGTTTCATGCACGTTTTGATTGAAATGAGTAGAATTAATTCAAAACTTGATGAATGATCTTTGTTCTTCTTCTAAATCCTCCAAAACTCATTTGAGATCAAGCTAAGATCATTTTCAACTTATTTTCTATTGATTTTTATAGTTGAATCTCAATGTATTCACATTCTCGGAGTTCCGCTAATAACAACTATTTTTTTATTTTTGAACATAAAATCATCGAGATTAAAGACTGATTAACAAACGTTCAACTATTAAAATAAGTTGGAGACATTCACGACTGACCTTATGTCATGTGTGTGAATCCTCGAGCACACATTCGTCTGAGAAAATAGGTTGACTATATTTCTCTCTTTCTTCATTCTCATCTTATCTTTTTCTCTCCCTTTCGTGAGAGATCTTATCCCTTCTCTCTCTCGTGAGAGCTTTCTCTCCTCCTCTCTCTTTCTCTTCCTTTCGTGAGAGATCTCATCCCTTCTCTCTCTCATGAGAGCTTTCTCTCCTCCTCTCTCTTTTTCTCTCTTTTGTGAGAGATCTCATCCCTTCTCTCTCTCATGAGAGCTCTTTCTTTCCCTCTCTTTCTCTCCCTTTCACGAGAGATCTTATCCCTTTTCTCTCTCGTGAGAGCTCTCTCTTCTCTCTTTCTTCTCTCTCTCTTTTCTTTCTTCCTTTTCTCTGCTTCCTTTCCTTTATTCTTCTCACCTCACCATTCTATTTTATTATTTCTATTAAATATTTTAAAAATTATATATAAATTAAATTAGGTTTCATGATAGATTAATCCAATCTTCCTGTGTTCGACTTGAGACTTACTTCTATACTAATATTTTATTAAGTCTTAGTTATAAATATTATTAGATAGTGTGCATTTAAACACAACGACAAGTGCACACCACTTGTCAAGGATGGTGAATACTTGGACAAGGTGTTCTTCATGTTCCATGGTTGTCTTACTAGTTGTAGACTAATTTTTTGTCAAAGAAAATGAGAA